ATTTATTTATTTATTTTTCATTATTTAAAACTTTTCTATTTATTTATTTATTTCGTAGTAGTGTTTCGACTAGTCAACTCCAGAATAATTTAATAAGGAGCAGTAACATTATCAGCCGCACGACTAACGTTGAAATTTCAGGTACGAGACTTGAGGGCCGATTAGGTAAATCGTATTTACTACTTTCATCCAGAGAAGAGATAATAACTAGAATCTAATAAACAAAAACAAAAATAAAGAAACTAAAATAGTGATAAAATTTCATTTTTTCCAACAATATCGAGCATACTAAATGCATTATTGTGAGCAGAATTAAAAAAAAAAGTAGTAGTAGTAGTATATTATTTAAAGTTTGATCGATGAACAGAATGAATATTTTAACTTAAAAATTTGACATGAGAATGTGCGCGTGAGTCATATGAGCTCGAAATTTAATCATTTTTGTTTTTTTTTTGTTATAAACATTAAGACACATTTAATAGTTGAGTTTAAAATAGATCAATAAGTTGTTTTACACATCATTTGCACCGAATAATTGATAGTAACGTGCCAAGTTGATTGTAAATTATAATATTAATTAATTATAATAATAATAATAATAATGATAATAATATAGATAAAATTATTTTAAAAAGAGGCCGACTATAATGACGACGGATTTGACTTTTTTTTTTTACTGCGTAATTACAAACGTAACATTAAATAATAATAATAATTATAATTGTAATAATGATCATAATAATAATAATAATAGTAATAATAATAAAAATAAAACCAAACAGAAAACAGCAAAACTAAACACCCTTACGAACTAAAATGGCATAGAAATCAGATTTTACGGACTATCAGAAGGCGAATAGCAATCGCCGGAAGAAATACCCGGTACACCAAAAAATATATATTCATATATATATTTAATTTATAAATATATATATATATATGTAAAATCTATATATAATCAATAATAATAATCATAATAAGACACTCATTCAACTAAAATTTACAATCAGTTATAATAAAGAACAACAAAAATAATAATTATTAGATGGGAAAAATAGAGTACTGGAAAAAATATCGCAACATTCATCTTTGAGAACACGACGACAACCATGATAATTTAACATTTATCTGATCATTTCACATATTCACATACACGGTTTCGAATTATTCTTTTTTTGGGGTTTATTTTGTTTTAAACGTAATTGTGTTTATTTTTAAATCTTATACCCTATCTCATTTGCTCTCCTTTGAAATTCAAACATTAATTCAGTATTTGTTATCTAATGATTATTTCATTTATTTATTACTTATTTCTTTTTTTTTTTTAGGATTTTAAATGATTTTTTTTTGCATTAATTATTATTATTATTTTTTTTTTTTTAATTACTAAATATGTACGCACAAAGACAAACGCCAACTATATCTCAGAACAACGTCTCTCGTAGGACAAGACACGAGAATATCACATTGCAGGTGTTTTTTTTTATTTTATTATTATTATTTTTTTTTAATTTTTACTTAATCTAATTATGTATACTAGAAAATATCGCTTTCTTGCGTCCTATTAATCGTTTCACATTTTACAAACCCTATCCAATACGAGTACGACCTACACTAAAAATGCACATTGAGATGTCATGTGGATGTATTTTATTAATTGTTTTATATTTATTTAAAGTTCTATCATTAAAATTTCATATAATCAAGTTGAAATAAAAAATAAAAATAGCTGCTGATATTATTTTATTGGTCGTGCCCGTGTGGATTGTCGCATCAATATTCCCTAAACTCTTAAAATATGAGGAAAGATGTACATATTTTTCATTTTTGTTTCATTCATGATTAATTGATAGTTTGGATTTTATATACGTAAAAAAAGGAGCAAAAAAATAATGATTTTTAAAAAAGACACTTTGGAATATTCAATAAAAGCTATAAAAGCTAGACGTACTCGAGAGACTCTGCAGCGAGGATCGATAATAATATCACAAGTGTCGCTCTTTCTTGATAAAAAAGAAATTTTTTAAACACTCAATTAAATATATTGCTGTTAAAAGCTGAGTGTAAAAAATTTTGTCATGATTGTATCCGCATCGTTGTTAAGCGAAAAATCGCGGTTTAAATTTTTTAAAATATTTATCAATTTTTTTCTTCTTCTTCTTTTAATTACAGTAGAAGGACATAATAATAGAAGATAGGCACGTAATTTTATTTAAGTATTATTATTTCATGTTCAAATACGCGTTTATTCCAGTAATAATCAATACTGGATTAAATAATTATTTATACGTATATGAGAGCGCGAGGATTAGGGAGAGAGCAAACAACAATAATAATAATCATAATAATAATAATTACATAGGAAAGACATTGATCCTTAAATAGTAATGGACGAGCAGCGAAAGTTGTGCGCGACGTATTCGATGCACTCACATGTACAATAATTCATATATTTAATAATAATCATCATCATAATAATAGTATATAATATTAATAAAAATTTTTTTAACATCCAATGATTTGAAAGAAAGAGCGACAATAGTGATAGTATAATTTAATGATTTTGATTTTTTTGATAAATCTCGACTCGCGTTAATATACAAGAGCTTTTTAATACGGTGTAGTACATAAAACACAGCGTGTGCCTAAATTATTTGCCACATACATTTGTCACAACACTTATTGATAATCGACAGTTTGTTTAACTAGATGACTATGGTCTATCAATAATAATAATAATAATCATAATAATAATAATTGTTAAACAATAGTGTAAGATAGGCTAATAGCTCTCCATAAATATATATATATAATTTATATATTAATATTAAAAATTGTAATGCTTTTTTTTTTTATATCATCATTCTATCAGTACTAAAATTATATTTTATGGGTATATGTTTATGGTTATCAGGGGAGGAGGGGGACTACGAGCGCACACAAGCGCATTATTGATATAACTAAAATTATTTATTGTATTGTTATTATTATTTATCATTACTTTATATCATTTTTGTATTTTTTCTTTAGATATTTTGTTGCTTATGGTTGTTTTTTCTTATTATTTTGCGCCTATATTTGGGGTGATATAAAAGGCGTTATCCTCCACCCTCCCTCATTAATGTCTTTCCAAACCCTTATTATTATTATCATCATCATCATCATCATTATCTTCATTATCATCTGTACACGTCTACTTATATGAACGTTCGTATATAGATTGATCCGTCAGAGAAACCCTAAGTGCCTAAATTCAATATTATTATCACAACAAATATCTTTCTACTACTCTGAGAAAGTTTTTTCACCATATCGTCTTTGATTCTATTAATAAATATTATTTTTATTTAACACACGGTAGTTAATCATATGTAGTACAATGTGAATACTTAAAAATTTCATTTAATCAAGATTATTTTCTTTTTATGAATTAAAAAATTTTATTTTTTAAATCTGCAAATCTTTCTCAGTACTTTTCACACCCTGACGAGTCTTGCGTAAAGTATAATTAATTAAATACTTTACGACTTGACGAACACAATCCCGCAATTAAAACTGAGTATCGAAGCTAAATGCCACGTAAGAGGAATAATATGTGAATCCTCTACTTCTGACTATCTTTTCAGAGAGTAGTTTGATATATTTATTATATATATTCTACTCGCGATCTGACCGGGCAACTATATAGCAATCCTTAAATATTGTTAAAACACTTAGGTAATAGCTTAAGTTTACACCCACATTAGGATACAGCTTATTAGGGCTCTAGTCAATTTAATTGAAAAACAAAAAATGATATAGTGATAAACAATTTTTTTAAATTTTTTAAATGTACAATTATTTCATTGAAAAGGGAATGAAAATTATCCCATTAAATAATTGTTATCCATTTTTCTTAGTTAACCATAGCCCTAAAAATCCATTCACAACTTCAACATTCACACACAAAAATTCATGCACGCGACCTATCAATTAAGTAAAACAAATTTTATCGTTTGTGTGCAAGTCTGTCCTCGTTATTATGTAATGTACATATAGTGTTATTTTTTTTTCACAAGAGAACGGCGTATAGTCGTGGTGTTTTATTAAAATTGGCATGTATATTTTGTCTTCATTTTTCCCTTCACTTAAAAATCACAAATAAAATTATATATCAATGATAAGTTGTTATTAAATCTGATAATAACTAATTGTTATTTATTGTTTTCTATTAATTACAACACAATCATTTGGATCTGTTATTTTTCTTTGTTAGTATAACTAAAAAAAAAGTTGTTATTTTTTTTTTTGCTCGCTCGTCGTTTGGTTTTCAGTCCATCAGGTACCTTCGACGTTGGAAAAACTATTGATTACAATGAGAACAATGATCTGAAATATTTGTTCTCTCACGATTTACAATTTTTCCAAATTTATTATGTAACTTTTTAAAATTATTTATTTTGTATTTTTTATATATTTTTTTATTTTTGTTCACGTTACGAACGGTCGGATAAATAGTTTAAAATTTTTCGGCCGTTCCTACACGTTTTGTATCACAAGGAGGCATAACGATAATAATAATACCAGCCAGTACTTAATGCCACCACGACTTGACTCGACTTAATTAAAATGTAATTCCTTTCATGCGACATTTTTAACCATTACTATTATTAATAAGTTTTACTTGTTTTTTTTAAATTTTTTATGCTTTATAGTTTTTTTATCCTCGTCAATTGTTTTAAACTCTACATATTAATAATTGGTACAGAGACACACTGGACATTGGCACGACAGGTGGCATTTAGATTTAATATAGAATAAAATTTACGTTATTGCGATAACATTTGGTATCGTTGTGTCGTTGCCCGGCCAGCCTGAATAATCAGTTTTTTTTTTTATTTTATTTTAATTTATTCTTCTTTAATTAATTACCATAATTTCTTCTTTTTAAATCATTTCCCTACCTATTCTCTTAATCCACAGCAGGACGGCGGGCAGCGACGTCAATGCTCGTTTATGAATTTGATTAGATTGATACAGTCTAAGTTTGATACTCGCTGCAGTCTTCGAACTGTCCAGCAAAAAATGGAACACTCCCCGAAACGATCAGAGACCTTTGGCCTTGGGTTTGTCTTTGCTTTCAATAGAAAGTACGAAATACATTTACCACTTGCATTATACTGATTAATAATTTATTTTATTCATTTGAATATTTATATATATTTATCGCAGTTGTATAATTAAATATACAACAGCGATTGTGCGTAGTATCATGATTGAGGTAATAATGATGAAGTTGTAATTGAAATTTCGTGATTTCTATTGAAGAAATAAAAAAATAAAAAAAAAAACTTGATGGCTTATTTAACATCATCTACTTCTAAACGTAGAAGAGAGCCTTGAATTGGATATAAATGATTAAATCCCTGATTCAATGGTCTCCGAAAAATCGATCGGATTGTAAATATTTCATATTTACTTGTATGATTGTTTGCTTTTTTTATTTTTTAATTATTATTTTATTTAATTATTTGTTTTATCGCAGTAAGATCGTTTGGCTGTTCTTTAAATTCTTTATGACCTTTCTTTGTCACCCGAGAGAACCGGACTCGAGAATATATATTTTTCTTTAAGTAACTCATTCCGATAATAGCATCATTGTCTTTTATGTAATTGACATTTCAAGAAGATATTGCTGACGACAAGTCAACACACACATATCTGCATCGATCGTTCAGATGCCGCACTGCCGTATATTATTGAGTTGTATATGCCTAATTAATTTATCGTTGAATTGATTCGATAAGTAGACAAATATCATGTAAAAAGTGTCAAACAAACCGGGAAGAGATTGGGTATTAAATGTAGCTGGCGTTGATTGACAAGTTTTAAGCGTTGATTTAGATCCCTGTTGTAGTAGCAGATCTTATTCGTCACATGTCGTGTATTTGAGCGTGCATCGTCACACCCTCTACATCGACTCACCTCCCAATAGATTTTCAGGCAAATAAGAGTTCAGAGAACTCGGTGTAGTTCTTTGAGCATCGCCGCTATCGAGACCGGAATTACTCCAAAGTGAGTTGCTGCTGGGTAAAGGAGCGCTCCATAGTTGACTTGAACTGCCTCCCCAAGTATCAGGTGGTGGTCCGGCTTTGTTGGATGGTCTTAATCCCCAGCCATTACCGCCGGAAGCTCCTGTTTGTTGTTGACCACCGTGACTCAATTGCTGAAGAAGAGTATGCACTTCACTATCAGTTGGAGATTCTGCGAATATCGTCGTGTTGCCAAGAACACAATTATTCAAAGCTAATTGAGCCTGTGAAAGAATCAAAATATATCAATAATGGTTAGATATTTTCATAGGAAAAAATATTAAATATTAGTTTTTAAATGAATTTACATTTAAATGAACTTGATAACAATGTATGGAAATTTTTACTAAATATTTTCTGAAATGTTTCATTTTTTTCCAGTTTAGTAAAATGTTGAATAAAAAATTAATTTTATACTCTGCACTTCAACTTTTTTGTCATGTATAAAAAAAAATGTGACCCAGTTATTCATTACTCTTTAAAATAAATTGAATAAATAATATTACCTTGTTAGCTTCGTCTCGTGATGAGTATTTTGTGAAAGCAATTCCATGATTCAGGTACAGGCGAAAATCTTGGACAGGTCCATGTTGCATGCAGAGAGTCTTTAAAGTTGAACCATCAATTTGTGGCGTGAGATTTTTCAATAAGAGCCAAGTTCCAGCAACAAGCCAACCGGAATTGTTACTAGCCGCAGAGTGGAGTGTTAACCAATTAGAATTAGAAGGTCTACTACTAACTCCAAGTCCTGTCCAGCCATTGCTGGTATTACCAACAGCACCCTTGCTACTTAATCCTGGTGGTGGTCCCTGACGAGCTTTATTAATTGGAGCACCCCACAACTCAGATGTAACGGCTGTTGGTGGTGGTGCGGAATCCGTCCAAGTATTCTTAGAGCTAAAATAATCAAATAAATAATCATTTTTACATATAAAATAAATAATACTGATAATTATTAAAAGCACAAACCTGGCGAACGTGCTAGGTGTAGTGGCAGGAGGATTGAAACTCCACGTGGAACTACTGAGACTAGGAATGGTAGTAGCATCAACATTCTGTGCTGGTGGTGGTGAAGTCTTTGAACTAGATGAGAATATTGCATCTGGATCTTTGATGGCAGCAAGAGAAAGAGATCTTACTACTGAACCTGGCGTAATACTGGGGTCATCTTCTATATTCTTCATCTGTGTACCCTAAAAGGATTACATATAGGTTATCTCGAAAAGGTAAACTTCTTAATACTAATGATTTTTAGTACATACATGTTTAGCAATTAATTAATATTTAAATAATTTCCAGCAGTACTGGGAATTGATTACCTTCCATGGCTTGCCAGGTTCAAATTCTGGAACTAAATCAGTAAAGGCAGGATTTGGTGGTTGCCAATCTTTGCCATCAGTTGCATCATTATTACCAGCATCTGGCCATCCACTGTCTCCAAGTCTTGTTGACCAGGTACCATCGCTTTGTCCTAGTAATGGATTCATATTAGGACTGCTGTGAGAATGACTTAAGCTACCAGGTGTTGGTGGTGGTTTACTAGTAGAACCTGGTGCACGTGAAAATTCATTACCACCCATATCACTGTCTTTGTCAAGCGAGGGCAATTTCCATTGATTCAATCTTGACTGTTGTTGGCTCTGTGAATTATCAAAGACCTTTTATGTTACTTTTTAGTAATTTTCCATATCCATTGTTTACACTAAGTGTAAAAAAAACTTACCACTGGAGGCTCTTTGTTCATTGTTAAATCACTAAAGCTGTTTTGAAGAGCTGACATTGGATCATGAACTGATGTCTTGTAATAATCTGAAGACTGTGATGGAGCAGCTGGGTGCTGTTGTTGCTTCATATAAGTGGCTTGTTGAACAGCTATTTGGTTTTGAAGATTAGCAATCTGTTGCTTCGTCTTGGTGATTTGAACACTAATTTGCAAAACATGTTGGCCGTTTCCCTTGAGTGAACTTTGCACTGAATGCTGTTGATGGAGCTGTTGGAGTACTTTGATTTGCTGCAATAATTGGTTAAGTAGGAACAAAGTTGATGGAGCCAACGGTTGATTGAGAATCTGTTGATTGAGATAGCCTTCCTGGACGGCAAGCTGTATTTGTTGTACCAACATCCGTAATTGCTGTGCACTCGGTGGATTTTGAGGTGTTCTCGACGCCTGCAAATATTTTCAATTGTTAAATTAAACACGATTAATCAATCAACTAAAAAAAATTCTATTAATACTTCAGAATAAATTAATTGAAACTTAATGATGGAAAAAAATATAATAGTGTGTTAATAAATGAATTATTAAGCATAAGTTTGGTTGAATAGACTCTACTTACTGTGCTAAAAGAGTCTTTATCCAAGCTTAATAGTATTTTTTGCAAATAAAAAACAAAGCGATCAAAAATGCTCATGCAAAACAAAAAAAAAACGAACAAAAATATACAGGCTTAAACCAACAAAAAATAAACAAATAAATAACCAATTCGTGTAGATATTTTAATTAAAATATTGGCTATTGAATTGATGCAAACTTTTATTTTATTTTCAGATATTCAATACGAGAAAATATAAAAAAATATTGTTTCTTCAATTTTTTTAAAGGTCAGTGAGTATGTATTGCACCAATTCAATACTAAAAAGAAATAAAATAGAAAAGAAGAGAAAAGATAGATAGTGCGCGTATGCGTGTGCCGTTTATCAGGTAGTTCACCTGGTTAAAAGGCGGTTGCGGCGGATTGGCGTTTGGCTGTTGCTGCATTGGAACTGCTGTTTGTTGTTGCTGTTGCTGTTGTTGGAGCTTCAAGAGACTTGCACTGGCCACCGAACCACTTACGCTGCCGGTTGCCGCACCGCTAGGCACTCCAGCCCCCTGCGTTACATACGAACACCCTGTACCCCATTCCCTTTTCCGAACAGCTTCAATACTCTACTTTAAATATTGTGCCACGAATACAACCAGAAACCACTCACTAGAGTATGATAGTAATAATATCTTTTTAAATAATTTAATAAACATCAAAGGGATCAATAGAAATACTTATTACTGATCATTTGGTTGTATTTGTATCATCAACTGAATACCTGATGATAATCCCTTCACCACTTAAAAAAATAGCCACCAATTTCCCTCCCAATTCAGCCATTTTATTTGGAAATAATAACCCCCTGTATAGCAGCAAAAATGCATTCAGACTTCAGATTCACACGCAATCTCTCTTATTGTTTTAGTATTATTCACTCATGAAGAAAAACTATGCTTATTGTTCATATTCAATCCAGAAACCAGATTTGAAATTATTTCTTAATTGCACAGAGAAACAAATAATTTTTAATTCATGCAAATTAAGTTGACTTACCGGTGGGAAAGACATTTGTTGAGCTACATGACTAAACTTGGGATATGCTGATGACATTTGTTGACTTGTTGGATCATAACCGGATGGAGCTTCGTGTCTACGCCATTGATCCAAACCTCGTAATTGGCTCAATAATTCTTGAGCTTCATCTTTGTTCATTTCACGATTTCGTAAGGCTGTTTCCACATCTTCCTTCTGTAAAATAAATCATAATATAATAAATAAAAATAAATTTTACCCAACTTTTTCATTAATTTTTTTTTTTTAAATATGATAATTACCTTATAGCCCAAGTCACAAAGATAGCGAAACTCTCTGCTGTTCCAAATAACTTCTTTGGTAAGTGCTGGTTTCGTCGGATTGGGCCAGCTTGGTCCTGGCTCCATATCAGCTTCACCCCAGCTACTCGATGGTCCCATGGCTTTTGGTTTATGAGCTGAAGGTCCAGCCCAAGATGCAGGATTCAATGGAGGCTCATTCCAAGATCCCGGAGTTTTAGGGTCATCCCAATTAGTTCCTTCATGTGGTCCTTCACCCCAAGAACCATTGCGACCACCTGGACCACTTGGGTGTCCCCACATTGGTCCACCTACATCAGGTTTCATAGTTGGTTGTCCAGGCATTCGATTTTGTGGCATTCCAGGTGGACATTGCATTCCACCGCGTCCTAAATTATTTGCTGGTATATCTTTCCAGTGTGATACTTTACCGCTTGGCATTGCACGTTGATTAGCGGTTGGATTACCCCATAAACTAGTGCCATCATCGTAATTGGGTACATTTCTTCGTTGAGCTGGTGGAGAAGGTTCTTCCCAGCCTGTTTGTTTACCAGGCATCATTTCTTTAGGTGGTGGTGCACTCCACTGATTCATGCTTGATGGATTGAGCATTTTAGTTGGTGGCCCAGATGGATGTTGATGACTCATTTGATGATGAGGTGGACCTGGTGGTCCCCACATAGCATCTGCACTAGCTCCATTCAAACGTCCTGAAATACCTCGAGGATCTCCACGCATATCAGTCATACGTGGATCGCGTGTCATAGGATCTAGAACACGGATATGTTCACGTGGATCAAGAGACATGCGATGATCACGAGGATCACGCATTTCACGTGGATCTACTGAGCGTAAATCACGAGGGTCTCGTGAATCAATTCGTGGATCTCCCCAGCTGGATCCAGTTTGATTACTTGTTGCGCCAGGCCACTGAGCGGTATTGGGTTGAGTTGGTGCTGGAGTACCAGTCCACATGTTGGATGAATCAACAACTTCGTCATCTTCACCCCAAGTACCACCAATGTTTGTTGATGGGGTGTGGCCCCATGGGGTTTTAGCCTGTTGTGGTGGTTGAGGTTGACCACCATTACGTAGAGTAGCGTCCCAAAGATCAGTTCCATTATTGACTGGTGGTTTCCACAATGGTACACCATCTTTTGATATACTCGGCTCAGGTGATGTAGGTACGTCCCAATTAGAATCTTGATTTACATGCTGACAGCCCCATCCATCTTGACTGAAAAGTGCCTCTCTAATGGTATTTAATTGTTCAAGTTGCTGTTTAGTTGAAGGATTAGTACTGGGTGGTGAACTAGCTGATACTGATCCGGTAGATGTATTACTAACTGAATTGTTATTTGAAGTGGAATTAGACGTTTGTGATGTAGTATTTCCATTATTATTCGAAGCAGAAGGATTTTGACTTTGACCAGAAGTATTTGATTTTCCTTGAGTCCACTGAGTATTGTTTTGATTGGTCTGATTATTCTGATTTGGTGGCTGAGATGCAGGCGGACCAGACTGTGAATTAGATGATTGATTTGGGTTGTTTGTTTTGTTGGTATTTGCAGAATTGGCTTGATTGCTAGGCGGACCTTGGTTTGGGTTTTGGTTAGGATTTCCAGTGCGATTAACGTTATTATTTCCCCAATTAGCTGACGATGGTGGTGCGTTGCCTGGTGTTCCACCCCATCCAGATTGATTAGCATTATTGTTGTTCGGAGTTGTAGCTGGTGCTGAACCCCAATTGGAACTAGCACCATTGTTAAGTGAGCTTTCACCTCCACCTGCCAACGATAGAATCATTGGTATGCCCCAACGACGTTTGTAATCCATAATAGGGTCATTATATGTAGGAGTATCATGATAATAATTTTGATGTTGATGATAATATTGAGAAGCGCATGTCTTCTCAGCAAAGAGACAATTCAAGGCCTTTTTAAGTTCATTCCGTTGATTTTCACAGTCACTCTCGTTGTTCTTGTAAGCCTTGAGGAAAGCTGAAGTCAGAATTCGTACATATGTTATCAGTTTTTCCCAAGAGCGAGTGTCTGGCATTGATGCCGTGTTTGTTTTTGTGTTAACTGATTGACTTGAATTAAGATACTGCTGGTGTTGGTGACCATTAGTCGGCAGAGGATGATCGTCCAAAATAGATTCATCAGATGAACACTGATGATTATCATTAGCGATTAGTACGGATTGTACCGTTAATGTATTATCATTCGAGTAATTGTTATTATTTATCTCGATGTTGGCTCGAGAAACAGGTACACTGTTTGTTTGGGATGTGACGGTAGCTGATTGGCTATTAAGCGTCATCATAGGCTCGCAGGTAGTCAATGTAGGAATGTTGACAGGCGATGTAACACACTCCACGCCATCGTCGTCGTAGTTTACGTCAAGTCGAGCTTGATGAGACGTTTCTTCAGACTTATCACTAGACTTATCGCTCGGCGTAAACATAGATACAGACTTAATATTAAAGTTAGATTCATGACCAACCTTAGTAGACACTTGATATTTATAATTCTTATAACTATTATTTAGAGGCTTGTTAGACTTATAATTATCCTGAAATGAAAGAGCACCAACAGTAAATATTGTTGCTTCGGTACAGCTAATACCATCATTTTGAGACCCTAACATACTAATAATATTAGTAGTCATTACACAGCTAGTCTTGTAGCACACAGCGACGTTAACAATGTCTTGGATAACATCTGGATTATTATTGTTGTATCTAATATTTTTTATCTCTTTTTTGTCCTTATCATTAATTCTACTGTCATCAATATAATAATAATAATAGTAATAATAATAGTAATAATTATTACCAACGTTGTAATTATCGTAAACCTTATTCTTAATCAGTAATGGAACACATATGCGTTGCATCAGCTTGCTTACGGTGACATGCCAAAATAGTTGAGAAATAGTGGTAATAGTAGTTATAATAGTAGTGGTAGTATTAAGAGATATTGCTCGTAATTCTTCAATGAGATTATTAATCAGGAAAAATTGCAGAGTGTGATCGATAATTTCGTTTTTGGAAACGATAAGCGTAATGGAAGAACAGGCATTGTACTGCGCCGTGAATTTCTGAGCACTTGATGATAATAACGATAATAATAGTGCTGGGGAAGTGGGCCAATTAAAATGCACATCACTGTTGATGATGATAATAAATAGTTGATTGCTGGTAAATCCAAGACTCCAAGACAGTAGGCTGACCAGCTGGCCAATAACTTCTCCATCATCACACATGGTAACTAGGGAGTACTTATCACCTAGTAATTTCACATTCTTCAATCCGTTGCAATTATCATTATCATTATTACTTCCAACAAAAATAATGTAGGTGTTAAGATCTTGTTGACGAGCAAACCCATCTCCGGCCACAAGTAGATAATAGTCACCGTAGCTGGTTGAGCTGAGCAATATCACAGACTTTGAGTTATTATTACTTATCAGACTAAGATTAGCCTTAAGGTTATTGTTGTCGCCCTGATTAAGGCGGGACCCTAGTAAGAAGTAATTGTCGACAATATTGGCGAGACACGGCTGCCGCTGGGGACGATCAGACTTGGGTATCCTAACTAGGCTAGCTACCCCAGCAGGACGGCGCGCATCGCACATTTTATCCTTTATATGTAGACTTAATTTTAGTACCCTAACGCTTACATTGCTAAAGCTATCCTTATTATCACTTAACGGCTTAGACATAAACTTAGACTTATCAGCGGAGCTGCCCAGCTGACCAAGCGAGCCTCGTGTTGTATTTTGCTTTCTGTACTTGTGATGATTATGTTCTGCATTGTTGTGATTATAATTATTATTAATAATAATATTATCGTTATTATCGTAGGTTAGAAGGTGATTTGTTGTTGAATTTTTTGTGGTTTCTGTTGCCACTGACTGGCAGGCCTCACCTCCAACGGCAAAGCTGAGCTCACCTGCAACAGCACCATAAAATACACTCTTCTTTATTCCTATTTTAATTGGTCATATAAAAAATGATCAATTTGCGTCTTGCTATGACCACCGTTATACTTTCATGAGCATGTCGCAATTAATGCTCCATTAGCTTTAGCAAAGTATCAAACGACATATTCAATGAATTCATTAATACTCACCAAATTGGCGTGGCAGGACGGTTATAAAGTCATTGGCGACGGTAGCTTTGGGGTGGCTGGTAGGTGCTGCCTTCATGCTGCTGTTTATGAATTTGATATCACAGTACCTAGCATGCTCTGGTCGTTCCCCTTCCCGCGCCCCACTCAGACTGCTTTCCTCTAATACTACTACATCCCCCTGAAAATAATAAACACTGAAGATAATGACGGTTCATTCATCAACTTATTGAATTATTACTCAATATTGTTTTCATTGTTATATGTTCCATATAATATTCTCTTAACTAAGCCCTTTCACTTACCTTGGAATTTTGTACGAAGGCATTTGTTTTAGTAGAAATCTCATGTGAACTAAAATTGTGTGGAAACATTGGGCTCAGTTCTTCTTTGGCAGGCAATGCATAGAAACCAAGATCTCATAGATTATCACTATCAGTGCGCTCCTAGCTCCATGCCAATAGGGATCTGTAATGAGATCATACTTATTAATAATGGAATCAGTAAAATTTAAATTTTAAAAAGAAATATTTAGATCATTTAAACATCAACTTAGAGAAATCGCGAGTATTGACCCGGTCGGAAATCTCTTTCTTTGCGACATAAATCTTTCTCTCTCGTTCACACTTAGTCTGCTACACACGACGATCATAATGTTAGGGAAAGGCTTAGATAATTCAGGAAAGACTTGAGATAAGATAGGTATCTTGAAACGTAGTATACTTTGCATTCAAAAGCATGAATAGAACAAAATAATCGTTGAAAAAGAACTCATTTGACACTATTCTTAAATTCTTTGACGAAAGTTAAACTAATAACTACTACTTACAAGCACATAACATATTAATACATGTTAATTTCTTGTATCGTTGCACAGTAAAAGAAAAAAGGCTTCATATAGGATCCGCAGACAAGAGTATCGATTTGTAAAATATAAAAAAAAAAAAGAAAAAAAGAATCATACTCCATACTTCGTAGTAATTCTCAAGGTTTATATGGTGGAAAAAATTTCATCACAAATCACTAGGGATTGTCAATGGGTACAAGAGCTAAAGAGAGTAAAAGAATACACAAAGGAGAAGGGAGAACAACGGTAGATCGCATCCCACTTTACATTATCCAACACAGGCATGCACCCATTACATAGTGAAAATAAATTCTTCGCGGAACCTTACTATACTTTATTCTAGTGTGGCCCCTTTCTTCCCCTCACACCCTCGTACCGTCCAACGATGTATATTTCGAAAGGTCAGCCAGCAATTCTGAGCAAGAGACGCAAAAGAGAGACCACGGGAAACTATTGCTCGACCAAAACGAAAGGAAGGTTGGTGTTACACCGCTGATAATAATTGTATCACAATATATATTATACTGTAGATTATTTAATTCTTGAGCAATTTATGATGAATAAATATTGCATCTCACTGTGAAATAAAAATGTTAAATCCGTAAATAACTGAGCTGATAAATTCTTTGCTCGATATTTTTTTCATGTAATGTGGTTGAAAAAGGTTAGATAACAATTAAAAACAGTGGATCTCAACAATGAAAATGCACAACACTGTTCATCACTAAAAACACGCTTCATATATTTGTCCTCATGGCTTCCAAATCTATACTTGCACACACAATAATGGAGTAACTAGATCTATTTCACTTTAATGGAGTATTATTTATTTGATTTTAAAGGCAAAACTTACGCTTTGGGCCCTGAAGAAAACAGACAGTCTGCACGGAGCTATTTCGCTAGCGCGGAATAGCAAACCGTACTCGCGGTAACGTGGCTATTCTTTCGAACGATCCTCCTCCCGTCAAGCTTGACTACGGGAGCGACTTGTGTGCGGCACGAAGCCACGTTCACGTTCGTATGGTCGGTACTCCATTCACGACAAGCCACCAATGCTACCACTTACGACCACTGTGGCGCTGTGAAACCACTTTGTCCACCAATCATCATGACTTATACTCTCCCCTATGCTATCTAATTTACACTCACGCGCATGCTGATTTTCCTTTTTCCATCACCCTTTTTCCTAACTTATATCAATTTTCCTTGTTCTTCAAGGGCTGATAAAAAATTATATTAACCAACCTCAACCAACATTATATTACCTTTTGAGGGAAATATGGTGTGATAAGTTTTTTATCAACTTCAGATTCATTTCCGTTTACGCGGGAAATTCGTATAATTATCTAAACATCGATTGGAAAAAAAAATTATTTATAATTAAATTACATCATACTTTTTTGAAGTAATAAATATAATTTATCTAAAGTTTTTAGAATAAAATGTTATAATTTATAGGTTATCATTTTTTTTTTAATATATCCAGAAGCTTTTGAATAAATTATTTATTTATATCTAAGTAAAGTTTAAAGTTCATATAAATTATATCGAAAATTGTTTGATTTTAACATAAAAGTCGAGATAAAAATTAAATAAAATATCTTATCTTTTATTTACCCTTACGTGAAGTCTATAAATATCTATTTTCTACCCACGAGGAGTAAGGATTCATTATCTATAAAAAAAAGTAGAGCTTTTTCTTTTATCAATCCAAAGCAGATAAATAATGAAAAAAAAAGCTTTTAATGTATGAAACATTTTTAATTCCTTTCGATAAAAAAAAAATAGAATAAAATCAAGTAATCGATATAAAAACAATTTAACAATTCCAACTTATCGCTTACAATTGATGTATCTTAAAAATTGAAGTATATTTATTTATCATTTAAATCAGCATGTTATGGTAAAATTAATCATACGGAGAAAGCTATAATAATAAGATTTAAAATTCAAGCATTAATTCAAAAATTCACACATATATACTCACACATAATAAAAGTGCAAAGTTTAAAATAATTGTCATTGCCTTTAGTAAAATTGAAGCGTCGTGACTGGCTTCCAAGAGCCTCACAGTAGTATCGGAAATTATTGATCTACCAACAGATATATGTATATATACCATATATATATATACCAACAAGAACAGTGAGTTGGTGAGGTCTAGACTAACACCGACAACGCCATTCCCTCTGGCGCGCGTCTGCCCTTCTATTCTCTACTCAACTTCGATTCTATATATCTCCACAATACCTCTCCTTTTCTCCATCATCTTTTTCAGGAGAAAATGGAGCAGACAAAGATGAAGAACAATTTCATTCCAAACTGTAGATTCACCACCCTATTTATTTTCTATCATCTTCAGCCATCAACTTTTTATTATATATTTTTCTACTTTATATCTTTTGATGTTTCTAATGTGTATCACAACATCTGCAGGATTATCATTGGAGAAAGCTGTGAATCGTTGGAATGAGCCAGCTAGCATATAAATAACAATAATAATATACAATCTAGAGCTACTGGAAAGAAACTGATTTTCAAGACATTTGCGCATACAAAATTGTAACTTGGCGCAACTATTCTACATATATATATGTATGGAACCCGGGGAACGGAAGACAATCTCTTCTCTCTGCTGCGTGCCGCAGCCACTGTGTCGATTGTGACGTATTATCCGTAACCAAGCGCATCTTTGTATTCTATTCCAGACTTATTTAATTACATACTACAAATGGAAGAAAAAAAACAAACAAACAAACATAAATTTTATTCATAATTATTTCTGTTTTCAAGCTATTTTAATAATTCAAAATATGATAAAATGTGTATATAATTTATTACGTATATGAAAAGTATACCTTAACAAAAAAATATATACCACTTGACTCACGTTATCCGATGGCTTATCTGACATGGACAATTAGCAGTTTTTTAAATGGTCTTGCTTTGCTAATTGTCACACATGGGTAATGTGGTGTTTAGGCGCGAACAAATATTGGAGCGTGTGAGAATAAAACAAAAAAAATTAACTGATATTTTTTTTTCAACACCTCTTCTTCCTCTGTTATTTTAGCCATATCATCTATATCCTATGCAACATACTCCACACGTAACAAATGGACATACACACGCACAAGTATTATATAACACAGAGTCAGTGGTTGAGGAAGTAGTCGACGAGTGTCGTGAGTTGATAGATGACATAAAAGAAACGTGAAGAAAAAGATGTATAAAAAGTCAAGTAAAGAAAGAAGATTTAAAGGGTTTAAACAGTCAATGATCCTATGCATATCATCTATCTTGATTCTTTGATGATATCTAATTATAATACCCAACGAATTGTCATAGTCTTCTGCTTAATAAAACCCATAACATCAACAATAATAATAATATTTACTTTATTTACTTGTATGCGTTTAAACCGGGTGCTATATATACTGTGTAGCTTGGCAACAAGCAGTCAGCCAGTTGCGGGGCAAGGTCGACCCTCTCCCCCTTGGCTATTTTATCCCGGCATATATTTATTACGAAACCGCGTGCATGTTATATACATACATGTATAAATGCCGAGTATCTCACTCAATCTTTTATTCTCTTCCCCATCATCTGTCCTTTACACTCTCAGCATACTAGACTACGTCATGGCCGCATTCTGGGCTCTCATATACCACCGGATAGGATTTAAAATGATGAAATTCATATAGACACAAGTTGACGGAAGATTCGTGCGACGTGAAACAGCAACGCTTGCCAAGCATCACATCGAGCGGAACAACCGTAACTCTAGCCCCTTAGAATGTTGCTGTTCATTCTAACAGTACACGTTCCTATCATCCTTCTCTTCTACTCTCTTTAACAAAGACTACTCTCTGATTTACTCCGTCATCACACACATTGTCCTCATTTGTAATTATTCTAATTTACGTATGAGTAACCTACATTTATTCAAGGCCACACACGTATTTCCCTATTATTATCAATGTCAAATATTAACTCTGTTGATTTTTCTATGCAAGACCTATGAAATATCTATTGGTAATGACTTTACTTACTTATCGACATTATTGTAAATTATATGGTTATATATATATTACTTATCATGACTTCGTAAACTATTTTAAATTTAATAAGTTTTTTTTTATTATCTAATAAGATACTATTTTTGTCATAATTAGTGTTATTTTTTTTTTTATTAATTATTTTCCATTGCAAAGGTCTAGGATCTCAATTGTAATAATCGTAATTATATGTTTACTTGGTTGGAGAATTTGCATTTTAATATGTAGATGGTATTGCAATTGCTATGGATGCATAATAAGAAAGCAAAGCATTTTAGCAAGATGAACAAGCAAAGAAAACTAAACGCAAGTAGTGTGACCACATTCCACAGACACTCCCACTGAATATGCTCCTTAAAGCTGCAAGTATATCGAATCAACATTTAAACGAAATATCGCGACAATTTTATACCTTTTATTTAATGGGTAAGCATTGAAAAGAGATCTCATTCTAAGTGATTTAATTATCACATCTATTAAAATGTCTATGACAAAATGTTTCTTTCTCTTTCCAAGTTGCCACTTGTATGCATTAGTAATATTAATAACACTAAGAATGATAATTGAAAAATAATTACAATGCATATAACGGTAAATAAATTGGTATCATCTCTGTACTGAATTAAAATGAAACTTAAAAAAGGTTAGTAAAAATAACATGGTGATAATTATTACAGATATTAGCTAGCTAGTCGATTGTATGATATTTGATTTATTTCGCAAGCATCTCCATAAAATATCGTGAGAAAGAATCATAATATAAAATACCTCGTGCTTTTTCGTCACGGTTCTTTCGCAGTTATGTATCTAGTTACTCGTGGCGTACCCATTTTTGGCGTGGCCACAAATTGCCGTTAGGACTCTTAAATCGACTCGCATTACAATTCAAAATGTACAAATGAAGTTGATTCTAATTAATTTCTAAAAATTAAATTCAATGTCTAAAATGTTGATATAATATACAAATATCAAGTATTCATTTCATTCTCAGAATTTTTACAGTCAAAAATAATTATTTGACTGACAATATGGCAGCTGAGTACCTTTTGCGGTATTGAAATTGATGCGTTTGGCGCAAACAATTGATTATAACAATACTAATTATTGTTGTGTCATTGTATTTATAGATATGATCAATTGAATAACAACTCAACATCATTTCTCATCTGTACTAAAGTTATTTTTGTATCTATAGAATTTACGGTATGCTCACGCGTACATGAGTATGTATTTATATTTTTTGTGCGACGATTGCATTCGGAGTATGCTACTTGATTACGTACTTAAATATTGTTAAATATACAAATATTTGACTTACCTCCGGTTATGTGTTCGAAGAATGTTCACAGTCGAAGAAAATCTCACTATCACACGGAAAAAATTTCACTTTTAACACGTTCAAAAAACACATTTACGTACTACGATGGAATTTTATTGACAATGAGCCTCCATTGCTTGGCACAGAGTTTACAGAGGTTACCACAGGAAGGCGCATTGCAACTAATTTTATAGGAACTGCGTAAAAGCAGCGACGCCATTTTACAGCATGAACTATTCCAATTAAATGGAGGGAAATTCAACTGGTGGTATCAACTACTGTTTCTAAATTATACCGCAAGGCAGCGTTCTACTGCCAAAACATGTGATGAAAAAATAATACTTTATTTTCATATTTTCATTTTTTATAATTTAAATTAATAGAAAAAAAAATATTTATTACGATTAAATATATTCTATATGACTTATGCGTTCCTTTTTCTTTTTCTCACTGGAGAATTATTTGAAGAAATCTCATCATTGGTGTCGAATTTATCCAAACTATCAAGTAAAAAGTAATGAATAATATTTTTAAATATTTATCAAAGCTATTATTTTTAATTAATTATTTGATTTACCTTTTGGGTGCGTACGTTATAATTGAACCCGATTGAATGTTTTTTATTCCAATGAGTTCATCAAAAGTAGCCATGGATGGTCGAATAGCTTTGAAATAATCTAAAAATAAAAATTATGATTAATTATTCTTATTGATAGATAATATTCAAATTAAATTCTTCATTTACGTCTAGGAAGCGTTTGATGATTTTGTACTAAAGTTTCGGGGCCTTTTGAAGGGTGATTGATCATATTTGCACTGGATGCAACACTCTTAGCTCCATTGAACTTGGAAATTGTTTTATCGATAGAGCTATTTGTTATTGACACTTTTGAAATCCCCCCCTTTGTCGAAGCATGAACTACTTCATTCTTATTGTTGGAAAAAATTGGAGTTGTTTTATTTACTTCAATCACGACCTTCGATTTCGTTCTTTGTACTGACTGATTAAATTCTTGATCAGCTAATATATTAATTGAACGTACATTTTGACAATTCTCGATATTCAAATCTTGATAATCTTTATCATTATTTTGAGTAAAATGATTTGCACGAACATGCCGACTATCAAAAAAAAATTCATTTGGATGTTTAACAGGCTTATTTAAAGAACAATTATTTGTTATCTTGAAGTAATAAGCACAAGCACTACTACAATTCCCTTTCTTAGTTCGTTCGATGATTTCTCTTCTATCTAAAAAAAAATTCTTTGAAGATATTGATAAGAGGAACAATGTATATAAATTAATCGTCACTTACGATTGTCAGAAATCTTCCACTGAGATAATTTGACATCTAGATCCTCAATATCTGTTGTAGACTTAGACAAAAATAAACAGCCATTGCAATCTCCAAAAGCAGTGGGATTTTTTTGAATTTCACAGCAATCAAGAGGATGATAATCAGTTTTATTTCCTCTAAATCCATAAGCATGCTCAATATAGTATTTATATTCTCGATTAAAACGTTTTTCTGAGATTTTTTTCAAAAACTCTTCACTAAATAATTTTATAGCTTCATCAACAGGAAGTCCAGCACCTTTGAGAAATAATGTGTACTGCAATCGAGATTCATGTTTCAAATGATGTTGTGATCTTAACACTTCATGTATAACACGCATACAAGGTGGGAAAGAGGAAACAGCCAGCTAAAAAAATTATCTTTTTCAATTTTTAATATAGTATGAATAGAAAATTGTAATTTTATTTTAATTTAATTATTGATATTTACCTCATCAACATCAGAAGCAACGATTTTTTCTCCAATTGCAGAATATTGTTGAACTTCGATGAACTTATCACCGATTTCTTTTAGAATTTCACTAAATTTTTTAGATTGCTCGAATATTTCAAAACAATAATTTAGTCGTTCCATATTCACTGAGTAAACCTAAATAAATATTTATTAATTTTCAGAGTCATTGATTCACTCATTTTAATTATATACAGTTCCATTACTTACTTGTTGCTCCAAATTTTCACGAAACAGCCCTTCAAATACAGCTCTGATCTGATCAAAAGGTATGTACGCTATACCTTTATCAAAATAGACCTCATGGAAATTAATAACTCCTAGTAAAAGAGATATTGGAACTTTGAAAAATTGAGTTCCTTGTAAATCTTTTGGATTATCAATAAAATTGATCAATTGATGCTGTAATTCTTGTTTTTCATTATTATTAACCTAGAATATAATAAAAAAATTTTCAACTTGTAATTAAACGATTGAGTTAATAGATAAATAGTATTACCTGAGGAAATTTATTGTAGAGATTTAAAAGTTTATATATTGCTTTTTCATCTAAATTTGATACTCTAATTTTAAATAATTGTTTTTCTAGTCTTTGAAATACTTCATAGAGTTGCGTATCAGTAATTAATGCTAAACTCAGTGCCACAAATGAAGTATGATCAATTACACGATCTTCAAGAGTTTCTTCAGAATACATCCTACATCCAGTGCTACTTATTAATCTAGCATACCTATCACTTCCAATTTTTTTCAGTCTTTCCATAATTGCTATATTCTTTTCTTCTCTATTTTTGAATCCAACACCTCTTTCTACAGAACTTATTATTTTAAGGACTGAAAATAAAAACAATTTTGATTTAATACTACTATCAGTAGAATTACAATGTAATTTTTCAAATTTTTGATATAAATAAAAATTTACCATAAATTCTTTCAATTGTAATTTTCAACAACTGCTCAGCAGTAATTGGAGGTGGTACATTTTCATAAAATTGTAGATCCATAGGATAAAAAATGTGTAATTTCATTTTTTTACTCCTACGGTTAAACAAAAATTTATTTTGATTACATAAAATATTTATATTTTTGTCCATGATTGACTTTTGGTAAATTACTTCAACATTCGAAAATATTATTTAGCATTTTGGAGTAAGTAATTTACTGCATTCATTCATAACCACTTCTATGACTGTCAAAACACATGTTTGAAACAATGTAAACAATGTTGCTTTTGAACTGCATTAGAGAATGAAGTGATATAGATAGGTCTCTTTTCTCTGGTTGCATTGAGAAGTATTTACACAAGCAATGATCGATATGAACTGGCATGCGTGTTCACATGCGGGAAGAAGTACACACATGAGTAACAAAAAAAAACTACTGAGTTGTGAACACAAATACCAAAATTTTGATTCATGTACAATTCTCAAGGCTGGGTTCAAGTCACGTAGCCATCTGATTTCCCTTATCTAAATACATGGGATCGTAGTTTCCTAGTTTTTCTGCCAATCCATCTTTTTACTACAAAAGTTTGGTCTCTAATAAAAGTTTATTTTATGCTGCAGTGCGCTAGATAGAAATTTTTACTATCCAATCTTTTCTTTTATTAACAAAATTAAAAAGAAAATTGAATAATTATGATTTGATTTGCCGCGCTTTAACGTCAAGATGGCCGCTACAAGGTTATGATGAAAATAAATCATGGATTGTTTATTTCTTATTGAGGCGTGAGCTACACTTGTAAGTTTATATTTAAATCATACAATACTTAACATGTTTATTCATTATTCTAATTCTTGAATTCAAAATTCACTCATGCATTTGAATCCAAGATCAAAGAAAATGCATTTTCCAACATAATTCTTTCCAGGAATTATGTACACATTTTCTAAAGTTCGCAATTCCAATTAATCCATTTTCTCAGCTGATAACCATATCTTCGATGCTGAATTATCTACAATAGAGGCGTCAATGTTCAAATACCGCCTTAACTTGAAGTATATCTGTCGTAATAAGAATATTTAGAAAAACATTTGATTATTTATAACAAAAGAAATTAATACCATTTACATATTTATTAATAAGTGAAAATTTTACCAGATGATAGTGACCCAAAAAATTATGTAAGTCTTTTTGTTTTTGTTATGCTAGGGTTTTTCTATGATTTTACCGCAGGTTATAGACATCTTTCACGTGAACTGACAAATGAAAAAATATTTTATTGTGATAATACATATACAAAGAGATTAAAAGTGAAACAACTTTTATATAATTATATTACAAAATTGAACATTATGAACATATCGAAATGCTTGGCATAAGTCAAATGACACCAAATATTCAGCCTTTATCAATTTGTTTACATCTTTACGTTAGCTTACGTTGTAAGTAAAATTTTCTCAATTTTATGCTTTCAGTCATATCAATCAATAATTCAATGAAGAATTTAATGTAAACTGGTTTATTCCATACACAATTAGTATTTTATTTTGATGAATTGAGTGGCATTAATTCATGACTCTTGACGCCTTGATTACTTGCCAATAAAGACTCTTGTTCAGGTAATGTCTTTTCTACTTCTGTACATTTATTGGAAACTTCATTCATAGTAGCAAATGTTGCACTAGTCAATGATTTTGGGATTTTTTCTTCTGAAAATCAAATAAATTGTTATAAAGTATGCATTAATCATTAAATTAATAAATTATAACTTACTTGCAAAAAAGTCCATGATGCCATCCTCATTTTGAATGAATTTAAAATTTTTTAAATTACTGAGATTCATAATTAAATTAACTACATACTGACTAACATTCAAAAACATCAATGACTGGGATTTCCCTTCAAAAGTAGTTATAAGTTTTTCTATTCCTTTAGCTGCAGTGTAATCAACTCCTTGAAATCTTTCAAAGTCTACAATTAAAGGATAAATTCCTTTTGCTTCATTCCGTGCTATTTTACAGACTGAATTCGTTAAATATGCAACTGCTGGATAGAAGAGACCAGCTTCTGGTTTGATTAAAACGTATCTATCACCGTGCAATGTCTATATTACATAAAAATAATTATATAAAATGATTACAATGATATAATATTTATTAATGTACCTTAAGCTTTTGAACTTCAATTTTCGGTCTTGCAGAGTAGTATAATAAATATAAAGCATTAGTAAAAGTACCAAAAAGTAATCCAGTCTCTACGTTGAAGACTAGACATATCCAAAAAGTTCCACCCACAATTACCATATCTCTTTCTTCAAATAATGAAAGAAACAATTAATTTATTATTATTTTAGTTGAATTAATAAAATTGATCTACTCACTGCTGCTTTTCCAAAGAATCCTCAGAATATTTACATCGATCAAAAAAACAACAGCACTGATAAGAACAGCAGAAAGTGTAGCTTTAGGTATAAAACCAAAGTAAGGTGTCAGAAATCCAAGAGCTAAAAGTGCCATAGTGCCAGAATAAATTCCAGCCATCGGCGTCTGAATACCACTAGCACTTCCAACTGCACTTCGTGTAAATGCTCCACATGTTGGCATTGATGATACAAAAGATCCTGCTATATTGCAAACACCAAGGGTCAACATTTCTTGTGATGCTTCTACTGGCCCATCTCGCACTAAAAACGATACATTAATATAACTAATGCCAATACAATTAAATTATAGTGTTAATGATACCCACTAAATGCTTTTGCAATTGCTACATTTGTTAGTACAGCTATAAGAGGTACCATGAAAATTCCTGTTCCTAAATGAGCACACATATCAGTGAAGCTGTATGTTTCATTGCCCACCTGGGACGAAAAAGGTGGAAGAGCAAAAGTAGGTAATCCTGGATAAACTGATCCAGCAGTTGCAAACAATTTATTCCCATTTTTATCTTGAGAAAAAGTTATAGATGAAGCTATAAAAACGATAATAGCATTTCTAGATACTGACAAAAACCACAGTGTCTTTTCTAATATCAATCCTCCAGTTAGATATTTTTCTTTAATTTGTGAACAATCCAAGTCTTTAAATTTCTGCAATAATTGTTATAAAATATTGATTAAAATATAATTCTTCAATGATTGAAATATCAGAGAATCATCAAACTTACTCTAAAAATTAATAATAAAATAATACAACTAATTCCTAAAAGTGTGTCATTCAATTTAATATTTCCCCAGTTTTGGTATAATTTTTGAAGATCAACAATATTTTCACATTTCAATTTCAATCCAAAAAGTCCAGGTAACTGGGAAATAATAATAATGATTGATGTAGCGGATGTAAAACCAGAAGTAACTGGCAATGAAATAAAATCTACCAGGAATCCTGATTAGAGATATTTTTAAATTATCAGTTACCGTTGATAAAAAAAATGAGTATCAATTTCACAGAGTTCAATGTCATGATAAACATTTACCTAAATTCATTAATCCCATCATGAATTCAACACAGCCTGCTAGAAAGCACAGAAGAACAATAAAATCTATCGGCATATCTCGAGTGTATTCAATTGTCACTAAAGCCATTAATGATGTAGCTCCAATAGACACCTCTTTGATAGTACCAAAAAAGACATAAATGAAACCACCAAGGAATGATGAATATAAACCATACTATAAAGATAAATTCTAAATAAATTGAAATAAATTATTTTTTTATTTTAATATAAAAATAAAAATACCTGTGGCGTTAGGCCAGCAAGAGCAGCGTAGGCTATACTTTGTGGAATCATCGTGAGTCCTAACGTGATTCCGGCAATAAAATCAGAAATAGCATAAAATCGTGAATATGTTGGTAACCATCTCGTAATTGGGATATGTTTTTTTATAAAAGTTTGAACTCTTTTCTTTGTTTTATTTATCACCTGTTGATCACTTTCATCACTGATAGTTACGTCATTAGAAATCACTGTCGAATTTGATCAAATAAACTTACCGAATATTCTTATAATTGAGAAATAATAAAAAAAAAATAAATACATATTATATAAAAAATAAACTTACTTGTTGAATAAATTATCGACTTAAACACTCGGGAATATTCCTCTGTTACAGAGGCGTACTAATAAACTGATTACTGCCAATTATTTGCTGAAACTTGTTTTAACAAAATTATTAAAAAAATCATGATTTTTATTAATCTTCAGTAAATACTCTGATGGCGAAGGCTAATTAGTAGGTGTTTGAATTTGGTTTAGTAGTGATAAGAAATGACTTGAGCGAATGCGAGCCTTGAATACCATTTCAATGTTAGAGTGGGAAATAACGTGCAATTCATTAATGTAAAGATATCATGACACTTTATTCATCTACATTTGCCTGTGGTTTAGATTTGCACCATCTGACACATGTATATCAGTGAGAAATTGTTCTCATTCGCCCTACTAAACGTTTTATTAGGCTTTCTATTTCTGGATAATATTCATAATATTAATATTTTTTATCTCAATGATAGTCCTTTTAACGTTTATGTTTATTATAAATCTTCCTTTTTTATACAGAAATTTTATTATTAATAATAACAATTATTATAAACTTTACTATACACTCAATGATAATTCAACAAAATTAGTAAAAAGTTTGTCTCTTACAATAATTTTTATAACAGAATATAAAATGCAATTTATCATAACAAATACCCAATGAGACTAAAAGGTGTAATTATTATTTATAAGATCGGATAGTATAAAAAATTAAAAATCAACAGATAAAATTCATTATCGGATCTTCTCTATCAGTAATTAATTTGTATATGATAAGAATTTTCCATATAAAAAAAGTTTATCTCACTCGAAAATATGCAGAAAGTTTTTTCAGCGTAACTTTTTATTAACTTCGTCGATCATTTCATCAACTCGTCGTGATGTGCCACGGAACTTGTTTGGCTCTGGACCAATCATCTGAATGAGTTGAGGTACTTCGTGTCCACTGATTTGAGTAAATCGTGCCAAAGCTTTCATACACGCGTAGAGTTGTTCTTCCGGTGGATTGCCATTGAAATATTGTAGTAGGGCCATGGTCAATTCAACAGCAACATCATCAAATACCTAAAAGTGATCGTCAAAAATTTATATTTAAAATTTTATTAATTCAAGTATTTACTGATGCTACTAATGGATGTAAATACGAAAAAAATACAAGCTTTAAATAATGCAGATTATTTATTTCCTGCATTTGACAAAACAAACTTAAGGAAAAAATACCTTCGAACTGCTGCCTTTCGGTAATAGTTGCCGTAGTGTTTTGTTTTTGTTCATTTTCTGAAAAAACACCCATAACCCTACAGAGAAATGAATTTTGACTAGCCACGGATAAGCGATGGAACATTTAGCAACAATAAATTTATTTAATATAACTCGTTAATAAAATAATGATGTATTTGATTATGATGTTGATTTTTAAAAGTTATTGATTGTTTTGAAAGGCAGCATTTCTTTCATAGAAGGTTATTATCGGCTTGAAGGTGAATGTTAAGGTGACTGTACCATAAGTAAATAGTTGCTTAACATATTGAAAACAAAGCGATAATACAGACCACAGTTTTTACCTCCTTGCAAGCAAGGTTGTGAATAAGAGCTGCACCGCATGCTTGGAGGTCTGGTGAATCCGACAGTAAAGAGTGTACAGCAACCTTAGTAGTAACTCTAATATTACTAATACTCTGGTTATTATGTTGCCATTCTGAGATATAAAGTAACCATTCGGAGCTGCTTAAATTTTCAAACATATTTGTCATCTGAAATTAAGTATTATATTAATTTTTTTTTTAAATAATAACCATTTAATCAATACATTGATTAATATTCATGAAACACCCCTTACAAATTGTGATAAAGGCAGTTGTTCTTCGACAGGATGACGATCAATGTCAAAAGCATAGTTCATTATTGTATGTTCTCGCCTATCTTGATGTAGCAACAGAATAATATCATCTTTGAGAGCAGACATTCCCAAGATATTCAAAAGCTTTACTTTCGCATTAGTTTCTAGTGATGGATCATATAAAATTCGGCCTATAAAAATAATTTTAAAGATTTATTCTTCATTATTTTTTGTGATAAACGATTAAGAGAGAATGCTCATAAAAAACCAACCAACAAAATTGAGAAAATTATCACCCAAAGCCCATGAACCTTCATTTTCTAAAACATATAGACGGAGCTCTTCAAGATTTTCTTTCTCTGCATTATTTAACTTTCCTTCTAATAATTCAGACAGAGCTATAAACTCTTCACGAAGGCTTTTTACAATATCTTTAAATACTATCGGTGGATCCCTTCGGCGTTTCCGTTCTTCAAGATCACGTTTCTCATCTGCTTCCATCTGTAAAACTCGGTCAGACGGTAACATCTCAGCTGCTACATCCCCATTAGTGGGTTGCATTTCAACAACTAAAATAAATATAAGAATATTATGATGAGTTATATTTTTACTTTGAAAAGTCTCAATTGAAATTTCAACGTAATAATTATTTTCTGAATTTTATAATATAAAAATAATTAAATTCACCTTCACTATCTGCCATTTCTGTATAATTGAATGGTCCTCCTGTGCTATTACTCTCACTGCCACTCTCTTTAGGTGTTTTATCGTGTTTTTCCTTCTTCTTCTTTTTCTTTTTTCGTTCCTTCCTAGCAAGCTTCTCGTTTAAGACGTTCCTCCTTTCCTCTAAAGCGATTGAATTCAGTCTAGCTTCTTCGATGGCAGTCTCGAGCAGTTGATATTCTGGAGAAGCCTCACGTTGAATCCTTGGCTCCACAAACCTTTGACCGACCGTGAATCCTGCACTTGCACTGGTGGCGAGGTTTTCTATCAGAGGTGCTAGTGCCTGTCCTACGGGCCTGCATGAGACAAGTTGCGTCAAGTTGTTTAGCTATAAATAAGTCATGACTCTCTCGCTACTTTTCTCCCGCGATGACACTCACGTCTTGAGAATTTCTTCGGGCAAGTCGAGAATGTATTTTGGAATACCACAGCCCACCAGGAAGTTGCTCACCTCGTCTGAGAAGTTGTTGCAGTTGAGTCTAAGCAGGTGATAAGTACCGGGTCTGTGACAAATTAATTTAAATGTGTATAAATGTCATGGACTTCAACATTATTTTTGCATCATGAAAACATTAATATTTGGAAAACTTACGCAAACTTTGACGTTCCTAATCCGTTTATGTACTCTAAAAACACTGAATACGGTAAAAAGGTTTCACCAAGTTTTTCAATTTTCTGAGGTTCACTTAGCACAGTTCCGCCCTAGAAAAAAATATAAATTGCTTGAAAACTTATTTTCCAATTATTGTAAGAAGTGTGATGATGAATCTATGCAAGTGCTTCCAAAAATAATTTAGCTGACACGACATCAAAACACACTAACACATCACTACTAATAATTTATCAGGTTTTATGATAACGAAGCACGCGTGACAGTTGCCGGACTAACTCCAAGATGTTAACAATAAGACAAGTAACTAATGGTGGTAATGGTAGCAACGTTGGTGGTAGTGGTAGTAAACTAGTCGGGTCAGGGACTTGAATTTAAGAAAACCCTAGAGGTAGAGAGGAAATTGTGCGACTTACCGGCTTGTTTCACTCGCACAGGCTTCTGACCAGGAAGCGTATGGAACGTAAGAGAGAGAAGCTTGCGTGAGAGAAGTTTGAGTTGGGTGAAATTATTTTTGGAAGCGCTCAGACCAAATTTAGTGTACATCTCAGACCTATCGTATCTCATAGCTTGCTACTGAGGTTACATCTCTTGACTTTTTTCTTTTCTTTTTCATTATGATCAATAAATAAATCATAATCGAAATATCTTATAGATAAAAGAAGAGTTTTCAAGTCATCGATCAACTACTGCAGATGTTTTAATCAATATTAATATACTTACTGGTCGAATGCTTTGAATCCCAGATGGTCCAAAGAAATATTCACGACCGTATGCTACGATTGCTGTGTGCCAAATACCCTCCAGATGTCGACCTGAAACAATTAATTGTAAATTGTATTTTTGTCAAAAAAATACCAGTGTCATTTAGCCAAGTCAACCCAGTTCTCTAATTTTAGGCGCGTTACTTCCTAGTTTGAGAGTTCACTTGTACTTAGAGACCAAAAAACATTTCTTGAGTTTTCAAGTTAAGTACATAAATGTTTTTAAAACCTTAACTGAGAGTTATTTAATATTTAAGAGTTTGGTATAAAAAAAAAACAAGACCCTCCTCAATGATCTTACCCTGAGAAAATCAAAATATGACTGAAGATTATGATGTTAGTTGGAAATTATTTTCATACGTCTTTTAAAAATAACTTATGACTTTTTCTTCATGAGTAATAGCCCAAAGATAATTCTATTTGAGCAATTTTATGTGATTCCACAATTCTGGATGCCAAGTTAATAAAAATAATTTGTATGAATTAATTTATGTTTTCAATGTTCCTTTGTATTATAACTAATAGTTTACCTTCATATCTGTTTTTAATCGGTCGAATTAATATCAATATTTACGAAAGATGAGTGTATGATCATGATTTATTATTAGATATTTTCGTACAGACAAAAGAATTAAAAATAGTAAAAGATTTGGAGAGGATCATGGACCACGTAAATTTGGCATGAGTTCTCAATGACGTTTTTCAATACGCCTATTGGTTGATGTAGATAAAAACAAATAACCGAGTCTTGTTTCTGTGAGAAACAGAAATGTACGATGACCGATTCACACGTGACTTGAATATATTTTTATTAACGCACTTCTCTCATATGACGTTCATGCGTAAAATTAATAAGATATTTGGATAGTTTTAAATGATTTTAATACCTATGAGCATCTGCGACATTATTGCGGCTGCTCCTTTTGTTAAATCGTATACATACAGTTCCACTTTGGTTCCCATTTCATCATTTTCATCCATTTTTCTGTTAATCTGAAAAATAAATTACTCATTAGTAACTAATTTTGACTGAAAATTAAAATATCAAATTAAAAAAAAGTTTGTATGAACTGGGTTGAAAATTCGTCAATTAGTTTAAAATAGAAGAGTTCAATAATACACTCACTGGAACTTGACTGAGATCATAAATATATTTAAACATAATGACAATAATTTAGAAAAAGAAACTATTAGCCAAAGATACCGAGACGCAAATAAGAATCTCATGTGAGTGTGCAAATATTCGGACGTTGACTCGAACGGTCATCAACCAGAGAGAAAATAATGCAAGAGACATTGATAGACAGCATTCGATCAAGCAAATTGATCTAACAGTGAGTGATGTTATCAGCATCAAGAACACATCAAGAGCATCAGCTGATTCAATTGGAATTGTTGCAAGATACATTTTGACAATCAACACTTTTTTTGTTATTATAACTGACATACCTGGATCATAGAAGTATTATTGGACTAGAAGTGATTGATGGATTGAATAAATAATTATTTACTGGAAGTAAACAGTGGATATACTTGAGTCCTTACTAGATGGCAACTGAATACTAAATGCAACCCTCACGCTCACGACCAAAATTCTCCGCTCACAGCGGGTGAGCTTGTATGATGATATTGAAGAAGAAGAGGAAGGAAAAGAGTAGCAGGAGAGGGCGGTACTTCTTGGCAAGATAAAACTACACAGAAGTAAGAGGGGTCATCGTAATAACTTTGAGGTAATGTGGATCAGAAAGAGTATAACAACCGGGTCATCCAGGAACTTAACGAGAGTATTTAAATGATCTATTTTGGCTTTAAGTAGTTTTGTTGCTTCAGTCATTTTCTTAAGATATTTTTACAACTTGAAATTTAGTTTTGATCCTAAAAAAATAATAAAATATTTCATTAAGATAATTGTCACTAAAAAAAGTTGACGTTTTTATCTGAATTATTGGACAATTATCATTTCACTGATGAATTGAATCCACATTGTGATTGTTTAGGTATTCTATGATGGTATAAAATAATTGTGAGATAAATAATCACTATGTATAATTATACAAAAGCCTTGATTTTGAATCAACTTCAAAGATTATTGTTCAGTTAAATGTTGACTTAAAACTCGAATAATTGAAGACTTTGAATCTAAAAACAACTTCATGACCTTCGAAAAAATTAAAGTAAATGAACCTTAGTACAATTTATAAATTGAACGATCTTTAAAATATCTAATTTGCGGAAGTCTACACTTTAAATGTTTATGCGCCTGTGAAGTTGAAGTTTGCGCAATATATCTACAGCAATCCGTGTCGCATGATATGATAATAAATGATATAATTAAAAACGTGAATTTGATCATGTTAAATATAAATATTTTGGTGAATATTCAAACAATCGGTTAATAGATCAATTCAAATTAAAATTATTTTTAACTTGTGTAGTATAATGCTGTATTTTTTACTTCTCATGAAAACAATTACAGTGCGCAGCTGAAGATTTAAATTTTAACAAAAGCTCTAAGTTTTCCTCCTTTTTGGGCTTAATCACTGGTATGTTCGCACACCAAAAATCAAATTTTTTATTCCTCCAAATTGTCTGAATAATCTAAAAGGTTTTATTGAATTTTTCAATGCTAAATAAGTAAACGTTATTGAATTAAACTAATACGTTTTTGACATACGTCAAATTAGCTCAGAGGTTAACTTACTCAGCACAATTTACACAGTTTATGCAACTCAGCTGCAATTGACTCCAAAGTAATTAACCAAACTTTTTTAAGGTATTTAATAACGTGTAATAATATTTACTGACACGCATGTGCTAACTAATAAACTAAAATATTTACTGATTGGAAAAATTTTTGATTCTGCTAGAATGACATTGTTATTTATAACAATAGCTTAAAATTATTCATAAAAAAGTGGATAAAATTTTTTAGTGCAATTTAGACAGCGAGCGACACTAGTAACTTTTTCGCAAACTAATCAATTTTAAACATTAAATTATCTAATTTTTAAGTAATTAACTTTCTGTATTATCAGTAATTTTTATCCTAATCATTTGAATTTTTTTTTACTATTGAATTCTAACAATTTTTTCATTTTTTCCAAAATTTTTCTATTGTTTATAAAACGAATTAGAATTTATCAAGGGTGACATCTATCATCAACTGAGCGCAACAATTTGACTTATCAGTTGAGTTTTCCTTATAAATAAACTGCCAAGTAACGCTTGGAGTGGGAGGGCTCTATCGATAAGTCTGTTGGCATTTTTTTTGGCTAACATAACTATATTCTCTTCAACTTTGTGAGAAAAGGACAGATTGTATAGGAAATTATCTAATTTGACAGAGATCGACGCTTTCTTCAAATAAGTTTCTAAACGAGCACAGCGCACTGCAACATTTGCGGAAGTTAGATCAAGCGGTTTACACTGAACAGCTGATGCTTCAGGGCCACCGGTGAAATGTCAAAATCAAATCTAATTGTAAGTTTATTTATTAAATTGCTTATCTTTTTTTTCTTATATTTTATTCGAGTAATATATACATATTCTTTAGCTAGATTACTATTTTTTTCTTGCGCATTTTAAGCACGTTTTACCTTGACTTGAAACAATGTTTACTGAATCACGCTTCGAGAATAACTACTGCGGTTGCTGTAGAAACGTCCACGATGTACACTCTATGATCAACACAATTCAATATACTTTATCTCCTTTTATGCTGCATCATTGTTATATTTATCAAGAATAATAATTATTATTTTATTATTTAATAATTATTTATGATTTTTTTTTCATTTTAATGCTGAATTTTGATATGTTTATTTTAGACCTTACGAGTTCAATCACCTGAAGGAACGAAAAGGATTAATGTCGATCCTACAGAAACTGTCTGTCAGCTCTTTGAGAAGGTAGAGCATTGTTGAGAATTCATAAGAAAAAAAAAATGATACTACCATATTACAATGATTCTTTTTTATAGGTTTATGATGCTTTCCAATTAAATAGTTTTGGATTCAGTTTGTACAAACAAAAAAATCATGAAGATGAAATTTACTCTAGTAAAAGTAAATCAGTTTCCTCATGTGGACTCGGTCATGGAGATATGCTTTATTTGGCACCAGTCAATGGCATGGTTATATGGAATACTCCTTCAACGAGTACTGCATCACAAGATTCCATGACACACAGTGAGTAATTTTTAGAATGACGTATGAAATTATAGTTCGTGGTATACTGTATAAATGAACAAAGAAAATTTTATGCTTTTAAATTATTTATAATGAATATTTTACATTTTGGAGTATTATGCTACTAATTTTTTTATATTAATCCTTTTGATGCCTGTAAACAATGTATTTTAGAAGAATCAGTTGCAATGGATGTCACACCTAGTACGAGTAAAAGTTCATCAACCACATCAGTTACTGCAGTTAATGCACGACCTCTCACAAATGTTGATGAAGATGATGTAGATCAACAATTGTGGAAGATGGATGGAAAAATTCAACGTAAACGAGACAAAAAACTGTAAGTTGATGTAATGAATATTTCATTAACAATTATTCATTCATATTAATATTTTCAATAATGTATTATTTAAATGTATTTTTTTTTTCAACAGCTGCAGGCACGGAGCAAATGGTTGCTGCGTTAACTGTTCACCTTTGGAACCATTTGATGAAGAATATTTAAAACAACAAAATGTGAAACATTTATCATTTCATTCTTATCTCAGGAAACTCACTGCCGGAGTAGATCGGTAATTATTTATTAATATAAAAATTTATAACATAAAATAAATGTAACATAAAATTGATTATTTAAATTTTTTAGAGGAAAATTTCTTCAACTCGAAGATATTAGTTGTCGTATAAAAAGAGGATGTAAGGATCATCCTCCGTGGCCGCGTGGAATTTGCAGTAAATGTCAACCAAACGCTATTACATTAAATCGACAGCCTTACCGTCATGTTGACAATGTAATGTTTGAAAACGCCAGTCTTGTTGAACGTTTCCTTAATTATTGGCGAAGTACCGGTCATCAACGTTTAGGTTATCTGTATGGGAGATATGAAGTTCATTCAGATGTTCCTCTAGGAATACGAGCAGTGGTTGCTGCAATTTATGAACCACCACAGGTAATTTTTCAGTTATAGTTTTGTTCTTTCTATTTAATATTTAATTTGATACTTAATTTGTTCTATTGGTATTTTAGGAAAGTACTAGAGACTCAATAGTACTTTTAACTGATGAAAGGGAAGCTCTTGTTGAAGAATTGGCTCAAAAACTTGATTTGAGAAGAGTTGGTTGGATATTCACAGATTTAATAGCTGAAGACGTTAAAAAAGGAACTGTATGTAGCACTTTTTACTATTATTCACATTGCAAATATCAAATCATAATGATTATTAATTTCTTTTTATAGGTTAAGCATGTTCGAAATATTCAGAGTCATTTTCTTTCTGCTGATGAGTGCATGATGGCTGGTCATCTTCAAAATCAGCATCCTAATCCTTGTCGTTTTTCACCAAGTGGATTTTTTGGATCTCGATTCGTAACTGTTTGTGTCACAGGTACAGTTAATAAATTTTATATTTATTATAAACATTAATGTGTTATTTACTAATTCATCACTGCTTGACATGAAACAGGAGACGAAAAGAACCAAGTTCATATGGAAGGTTATCAAGTATCGAATCAGTGCATGGCTCTAGTTCGTGATGGTTGTTTGGTACCGACAAAAGACGCTCCAGAACTTGGATATGTTCGTGAATCATCAGATAAACAATACGTCCCAGATGTCTATTATAAGGTAAGATTTAAAATTTTTTTCTTAAAAAATTATTGATATTACTTGATTCAAAAGGAAAGGATGGTTAAGGTAAATAAAAAACAATTTCATGAACGAAATAGAGAATATTTTATGAACAAAACATGATAGATTGTTTTCAAGTACATTTGGTTGAAATAACGTCTATTAAACCCATGCGTAGATGATGAACAATAATACATAATAATTATCATAGTAACAATAGGCCAGTTAAAAAACAATAATTCTTTCTTCAAACTTTTTCACTTCTATTGTCAATAGTACAAAAAAAAATCTTTCAGTTAAAAATTTTCCTTGCCATACAACAAAAACATACAACACATGTGAAACGAAAAATTTAAAAAAAATAGTTAAAATGCAACTTACAAATTTAGTCATGATAGATTGTGTTTTTTTTTTATTATTTAGACTTGATATATTTTACTGTTGTAATTCGATTTGCGAGGGTAAGGATACAACTGAAGGTCATCGAAATCGGTATTACAATCTACGCGTTTTTTTTTTACCTCGTCGCGTTCATAAAAATATATGTCTATGTACAGATAGGACGTGTTTTTATAATATCGTGAATAATATTGTTTTTAAATGTAATTTTTTTTTAATTAGCGCGGACACGTGGGCTACATCGGAGCTCAGAAAATATAAGTTTATTTCGTTTTAATTCGTCGTGATTTGCACACTTCAGGATATATGTTTAATATGTTTTGTCATAATACGATGACATATTTTTCATTAATAATAATAATGATATCTATCATTATTATATACTCATTCTTAACTACATTTATATTTTCCCTTTCTTCCCGCGTCCTTATTCAATAATTACCTCGCCTAATTGTACATAATTTTCATACAACCAACAAATTTTAAAACTTTTATATTTAACGTCAAAATGAAATTCACTTCACAAAAAGGCGTTCACAACAACATGATGTGCAATATTACCTCTCCATGTGTACATTTAAGAAATTACGTGTGAGTGCATTCTTTTAATTCTTCTCATAACTAATTATTTTTCACGATTAATACCGTCTTATCATTGGACTACCATTGTACCATTACGCGGGAATATTCGTTTTTACACTTTATAATACATAACAATTAGAATTAACGAACATTTTATACGAGCAATTTTTATTCTCTCTAACGCATATGTAATCTTTTAATATTTTGATATACATATATTTTTTCATATATATATTATAAAGGAATGATTTGTTCAGATATACATCGCGTAGATTCCTTCTTTGTCTTATATATTTTTTTTTTGTATTTTATAATATTATAATTCATTAAGATTTTTTGTCGCCACTGACGATCGGAAGTTTATTTTGATATCACGAGGACATTTCTTCGCGGTCTACGCTTGCAATTAGGCCCCATATATATTCGCACATTTAGATTCTAAATATTATAATACAGTACAGCTTTTTCATAAGACTGATCTGTACAATAATCATGGAGTAACGAAAGAAAATAAGGAAGACATTTTATTTGTCTCTAAAGTCAACCTTATTTTTTCGCTGCTGTACAATCAAATAATTAACACCATTGATAATTCTATAAATTTCACAAAAAATCTTTCAATTACATTGACCAACAACACACAAGTCCTCAACTAAAAATATATCTATGAATTTATATATTATGTATTGCATATAATAATCATTTTTACATACATAATATATAAATTCAACATGTGTTTATTCACACACTCGTCATAATTCTTATAATAATTTTCATCTTTTTTTCATGACTTCTTCTTCTTCTTCATTAATACACTTATTTTTTTATACATATCGCTTGCTAAATATATCGTCAAAACTAAGGTCCATCTTTCGCGATTACCTCTTTAAAAAATCTAGAGTTTTATCGTATAGGTAAAGTCAAGAAGAGAAAATATATAATGATTATAAATGACAAGTCGTGTGTCAAAATAAACTTTATATAGCTAAAAAGTTTTGTTTTTTTTTATCGATTTTACGATCGATATGAGGTACGTATGTATTGGAACCATCGTCGTTTTTCGTAGACATGGCATTCTATCCAGATATAGATGCCTTTCATATATAGCAAAAAATATGGATCTATTATCAATTTCAACATCATTATTTTTCTTAGTTTCTTCTTTATATTCTCGCTTCAAAAATAGATTCAACATCTTTAAATCTCTATTTGTATAGTGTTAATGGATTCACTTAAATTAAACTCAACAGTGCACCATAAGCACAAAAGGTGCAACCTACGTATAACGATGGTCACGCCGTTATATTATTATTTTATATATATATATATTTATACCATGATTCTTTTAATCAATGAAATTTTTTCACACAATACATTTACTTCCTAATGATTCCGAATTGCAAAAACGCATAAAGGTCATCGAATTGCATTTGTTTGCACTCATTTATCGATGGTGCGTTACAATTTTCCACATTTCGTAATAATAATCGTTTTGGTAGGTTTACCAGTTTGATCACCGAACGTAGATATTTTTTCAACTAGTTCTAAACCTTCAACAACATGCCCAAAGATACCAGTAAAACCACGCATCTCTTGAAGTATTATTCGAAATTGCGAACCCACCATTCCAAAATTATCGTGTCGTTTTTGTGTTCGACGCATACCGACTGCGCCTCTAACAGCAGGAAACTTGGTATCATCAGGCATGAAATAGCCATCTTCATAAATGCTACGTCCACCTCGACCATTATTAAGTTCAAAATCGCCAGTGATTACTGATTCACCTTCCCAACATTGGAATATCGAACATCCTTTGTAACCTACACCTATTTCACCCGTTGCTAAAACGCTAAAATTTTTTGCCATTTTTGGTGCGACATCAGGCCGTACTTCAATAACAATTCTTCCATGTGGAGATCCATTGACTTCAATATTAAAATAATACATTGGATAAGGATTTGATGGACCACGAAGTGCGACTGTCATATTACTGTTGCTTGTTGGTGAATGAACAGCTGATAGGCCTCCAACAGCACTAGCACCACTTGAATTGTTGTCTTGTATGAAAGAATTTTGTTGAGGTTGAAGAATGGAATTAGGAGCTGTTGCTACTGGTTTTACTGATGGTGAACCAGGTGGAATAAGTAATTGAGGCTGTTGTTGAGGAGGTGGTGGTGGTGGTTGTTGTTGTGTTAGTGGAACTGGATGAATTTGAATAGATCCAAGTGGAGCTGGAGCTGGCATCATGTTAGTGTGATAGTCAATAGAACCATTCTGAATGTGCTGTTTGCTCACTACATATCTTGAATATAATTGAGACATGCAATAATTCGCTAGGAAGAGAATAGGATTTTGGGCGGCCGCTAGATTATTGGGTACTCGTCCATTTCCTGGTGCCTGAAGTAAGATTGGCTCACCTGAATGAATACTTGCAAGGGCTTGCTTTAGAAGGGGGAAATCAAACACGACTCGGGAATTACCGATTAAATCATCCAATTGACATTGTAGCATCATTTCTTGATATTTGCTTTGTAACCTCTGTTTTTCCATTACAAGATGAGAATGAAGACTATAAACATCACTTGGTCCGTCACTGACCTGTAAACTTGCTTTCGCCTTCCCAAGAGTTTCCCGAGCTTCTGATATTTCTGGAAAGTGAGTCCATCCATTTTGCAAATCAGTCTCTACGTGTGTCTTCAATGTAACACAAGCTTCTAGAACTTTAATTAAAAACTCTCTTTGCTGCGTTGCCAGTCTCTGAATCTCTGTGGATAACTTTCCCATTGTGACTAATTCCAGTTGGACCTGAAAAAAAATAATCACTTTTTTCTCTCTCTTTCTTTCTTTTTTCTATCGCTTGTTTTTTATTCAATTTAAATTGAACAAATTACTTACGTCGGATATAAGTTGTTCTTTGGCATCTGATTGCGTTTTTATTTGATGGCCAGGATGTTCATGAGGTGTTGCACAAGCTCGACATAGTAATACACAGCATGATGAACACCACAAGGCAAGAGGCATTCCATGGGTGTGACAATTTTCACTCTGGAACAAATCATAAATTATATACTTCAGCTAAACTAAAGTTTATCCATTCTAAAGATACATGAAGTTCAACCTTGAAGTATAATCCTATTAAAATATAGTGTTTTCAATAGGGCTTCTTGTTTGCCATGTGCTTTCATCGAATGATTATTAAAGACATTTTCATAAATCAATTTATAAATACCTTTCTTTCTTTCTCAGTTTGTTGTTTGCAAGATGTGTTGTTACTCGAATTAATTTTGAGGTAGGAAAAACTGTTGGCCAAGGCAAGTAGAGGAGAATTAGTAGGTAATGCATCAGGTCCTTGATCACCAAGTTCTGTTCTCTTCCAGCAATGAGCACATAATAATTCACGTCCTTTTAACAAATTATTTTCTATACAACGCAAGCAAAAATAGTGCTTGCAGCTTAGATATTTTGGACATTGCTCAGCATTATTGTACTTTTGTTTGCAATAACCACATAGAGTCAATTCCTCTAAATCCGTTAATACACTTGGATCAAGCATCTAGAAAATATTGTTGTTTCTCAATTAGTAATGTATACGATTTACGAAACATATATTTTTGAATAAAAAAACAATCTGGGTAACAAGTAGGTATTGATATCACGCGTGCGCTTAAAAGCCCGCCAAAAGTTTACGGAAGCTCGATGTATGAGGAAGAAAAAAGGGGCGGTTGGCAGACCGGCAGATGAGGGAGTGAGAAGATTAATGAAAGAGGAAGAGCCACTGACTGCATATACGCAACTACGCAAAAACAAGTTATTTTGTCGTAGCTTTAGAATTTTTGTTGATTTAATCACGTGATTTAATTACTAATCAATATGTTTAATTAACTTCTTCAATATTGTTTTAATAATTATGAAATTACCGCGCTTTTTATTCGTCAAATGTAGACACAACATACTACACGTTGGTTACATTGATGAGGTAACATACACACAGGAGTCAATAGACACAATACACACATGAGAGACAGTGATGAGGCCGGCCACGTTTTGTATCAATTTGATGAATTTTAAAGCTCGTGATATATATTTATTGGGTTGTTTATTTATCAGTCCATTCATTATGAATTAAAGTCATACCGTGTTGGTTGGAGAATGTTGCACCGAGGAAGAGAAGTCCGTGTCGTCGTACTTCTCAACGCCAAGTCCAAGTTGTATATCGTATATCGTAGAAGCAGTCCTACACACCCGCGTCCGAAATCCCGCGCCTTACTGCTTGAACATCAAAGTATCAATACCGAATTAACTTTGTGCGGCATCTTAAAACGCGGAATCCATCAATCAAGAATATTGTTTTGAAATGTATGTTTGTAAATGATGTTGGTATTTCTCAGTTGATTCTTACTCTTAGTTAATACTACTCTCTTTCCCCCCTGCTCTGTTTTTTCCCTTGATCGCGCGCGCGGCCCAAAGGCGGCACTAGTAAGCGATGTTTGACGGACTTTTTGTTTTCAATCACGCTCGCGTTGAGACGTTATCAAACGGGTTATGTGGACTGCATAATGTCGACTTGCCGGCAACTCCGTGTGTCACCCAGACACCTCTTTAACTTGTGCTAACGTATTGCCACATCATGACGTTTGGTTCACTAGACTAACCACTAGCATGGCGGCGAGCAACCGAACGACGACCGACACCAACACATATATGAAAACATCCATACAATTTCAACAAACGGCGAGGGCGCAGTGTCGCTACTGACTTGCCAACGCTGTTGCTCTCTTCCTCCTACTTCTCCACCTTCTCTTCCTCTTCCTCCTCCTCCTCCTCTTCATTGCAAAACCTTCGTTCTGCCCGCTTCACCCCTCCAAAAGTCGATAACTCATACGCGTACCGGCGCGTATGGTACGTTCTTCTCAACTCCCATTTCACCACTCGATCAAACCCGCGCCAACTTTGATTCTTTTATGCTTCATTTATGATTTCATATTTTTATGTTTACTCTTCCAGGAGAAAGATTCATATGGCAATGAAGTATTGAGATTAGCCAGACCACTTCCAGTTGAGTACTTATTGGTTGATGTGCCAGCATCTACACCTTTGACACCTCAATTTACGTTCTTTGCTAGTGATCATGTCAATCCTTTCCCAGTAGAAAATAGGTAAGTTAACACAACACTTTTAAACAAAATCATTCAATTTATCTGAAAATAATTGAATTATTGTTCAGGCCAATAAAAATGTTGTTTTCTTTTTATTTTAATGATAATAAGTTGTAGTTATAAAGCCATAATAGACTCTCGTTAATTGTGACATTTTTTTTTTAAGGCTGGTTGATGGACAAGTACAAGATTTTGATTCTTTATGTACGTATATGCAGCAATTTGGATCGGATCAATTTCTCGAAGCTATATCAGACTTCCATTTATTGTTATTCATTGCTACAATGGACATGCTCCCAATGAAAGATCATATGGCACCGCTTTTGGAAGCAATTAGATTAAATGACAGTGAGAAAGCACGCAATTGGGCTAGAAGTGAACACTGGGCAACAGTAGAACAATTAATATCAGCTACAGCAGCGTCTTCCTCTCTTTCATCACCAACTGTTACTTTCGGCAATGACACTATGAGGGCTACTTCATCTGCATTTGGTGCTGATGGAACAAATGTTGGTACTGGATCTGGTCCTGCATCTAATCAACCACTTTGGACATGTCCTTATTGTACATTTTTAAATCAAGCTGAATTAGGATCTTGTGAAATGTGCAGTTTACCAAGGTATTAATCTTATTGCAAAATATCAACTTCATTTAATTTATTCATTTACATTATTATTATTATTTCTTCATTTGTTAAACATTGTTTATTTTTTTTTATACAGGATGTAGAAAATATTGAAGAACTGGACAAGTTTTTACATTTAACTTATTTTCTTCTCGATCTTGATTTTGTCAGGCAAAAATAAAAACACCAAATAATATCGATTTTATTTTTTGTGTGCATGATATTGATCATTAAAAGTATAAATGAATAATGTTTTTGTTAAAATTATCTATTTAATTTTTTGGATTATCCTTGTAGGATGCTTCTCTGAGTAGGATGCGACACCTTAAAAACGTGATGAATTAAGCAATGAAGAAGAATAATTAAGTGAAGATAAACAAAAACATTTGAGAAAAAGAAACTCATGATATACATCCGTATGACGACTGATGACAACCGATTCACGTAAAAACTGTACCATAATTTAACGACTTTTATTTATAAAACTTTAAACAAGTGATAACTGTGATACAGGAGTGAAAAATGAAAAGTTATGCATGATAAATTAATGATTGAATAAACTGTTGATTGTAGTAAGATAATGACATTAATTGTAATTATCATTGCAATTGAACTGGAAAACTTTTCAGAATTTATTGGTTGTATTTAATTGGTCCAGGTCGTCTTGGTCGGGTGATTTTATTCAAGAATATGATTAATTTAGTGGAAATAAATAATAAAACGGTATAATATTAAAAAAAACCCAATAGTTTTTATTTCATGTAAACATAAGTATCAAAATTTATCTCATTTTAATTGGATAACTCCCTCCTATCCTACTAATAACAGCATCAACTAAACTAGATGTTTCTAATTCATTTCGACCTATTTTGTATATTTCCTTAATTAATTTCTCATTACAGCATTTCCTTATGTCCAAAAATGAGGTTAGCTGACCGTTAATATGACTAACAATTTCTTCTGGATATTCTTTGTTTTCTTTCTCATGAATTACAACTATTACAACATTTTCATCGTCGTCCTGAGCTCCAAATCGATTTAATGATGCAGATATACTATCTGATAGTGACATGAGATAAATCATTTCAGTAAATACAGATTTTGTAACAAGTATACCTAATTTTTCTCTTTTGACTGCCTTATTAGCTGCTACTACAACTTGGAAGACATCTATTATAAGAGATACTTTGAGGATACAACATTTTAATTCTCCTGATAATACTTTTTTCCGGAATTCGGGCATATTGCTCACATTGGTATAGAAATATAATGATAGTGATTTTCCAGTATCTTGATCCAGTTGTTGTTCAAATACTTTTTCCATTGTGACTCTAGAATATAAATTAAATTATTTTCACACTTGTGATAAATGAATAAATAAATAAATCTATATAATATAAAAATTTAACTATTATATTACTAACCTGAATTTTTATTTAATAATAATTTTATCATAAATATCATTAATAAATTATTTTTCTACGAATGTTATTAATTATCACTGATTACAGAGTAATATTCACAATTTGAATGATATTCAGAGTAATATTCACAATTTTATATAGCCTCTAAACGACGCATGACATTAGGCCGCTATCACCGTTGTCATAACAATAGATGGAAACTCTTCCGAAGCTTAAGCTTGTAGAAAATAGTAAACAAAGTTCAATTTCGAATGGTGTAGTAATGCTATTCAAATAAATTGATAATGGATCCTAAATTTCATACGGAAGTAATTTTAAAAGAAGAAATAATTGAGCCAAATGAAACATACGAGTTTGTAGACGATAGTAAAAATGGAGCAAATGATAATAAAAGTGAAGGATCTATTGGTATTCGACCGAGACCACTAATTTGTAAGCCAGAAAATGTAAACATTGACTGTAAAGCTGAACCAATTGAAAATAAACGACATTGGGCGCCAGGAGCTTGGCAAGATGCTACTAGAACAAGTGCATTTCAACCTTATAAGGTTAGGAATTTTTTGAAATAATGATTTTTATGTGACTTTTCTAACATCAATATTTGATTACACTATTTTAGCCTCCAACACTACTCACGAATTTACAAAGAGGCAATACGAAAACTGAAATTCCTCAATTATATGCTAGTAGTGATATAACTTTTCACACATTGGCGGGACAAGGTGAATTAACGGCTGATCATTTGAAATCAGTATCAGTAGATGCTCTTGATAAAAATGGGCTGACAGGATTAATGTGGGCTGCTGCTCACGGTCAACTTGGAAGTGCTAGACAATTGATCAAAGCTGGAGCTGATAAAAATTACAAAGGACCTAATGGAGAAACTGCATTACATCTTGCAGCATCTAATGGCCATCATGACCTTGTGAAATTATTACTTAATAATGATGCTGATGTTGATGTTGTTGATGAGGTAAACTGCTCAACCAGCATTTTTTGTGAATTATAGAACGAAATATTAACGTCAGTTTAAAATTATTATTTATTTAAGTCTAAATGTACAAAGAAATGAATTTTAAATAATTTTTTACAGGAGGGAAATACTCCATTAATTTATGGGGCATATGGAGATCATCCCCATGTATGTTACGAGTTATTGACACGTGGTGCTGATGTAACTCATAGAAATATTCACAATATTAGCGCATATCATGCAGCGATCTTGAAAAAATCATCGACAGCCAAAGCCGTTATTGAAAATTATTTAATACAACAATTAGTAGTTTAAATTTTTTTGTAGTTGATATGATGAAAAGAATACAATACTGTATATATTTCCAAGAGGTTACAGCTTTTAATAAAAATAACTTGTTATGTTTTTGATACCTAAGCTATACATATATTTTTCTAATGTATACATTTAAAAATAATACTTAACAAAAAAAAGAATAGAAATGCATTAAACGACATATTATTTTTATCTACTTAAATCATCAACTATCAATAAATCATATAGCTATTCACAATTTCATTTAAAAATGAAGAAGTGATATCAGTGCCATTAACGTTTGATCTGTATAAATTTTCATGATTGAAAACTGTTTTTTTTTCGTTTTATTTGAAAATTGGACTGCATTTAGGCATAAAAAATTGATTCATAAATTATCCACCTTTAATTATATGGTCTACCATATTTTTGTGAATACAAAGAAATTTCTATTTGTATTTTTGTGTATAAAATTATACCACTTCATAGTTGTCTGTTAGGAATACCGTATCTACTGAATGTTTAACAGGACTTTCATCTTCAACAAGAAGCACATCAACGACCTTAAAAAAAAAAATGAAAAGAGTACTATTAGAAAATTGTTTAAAAAAAACATTGTAACTTTTAGCATTAAAAAAAACTATGTAAGTACCTTAATCTTAGCATAGGAAGTTTTCGAGGTAAATGAAACTCGGAGTGGGAAAAAGTCTGCCGGAGTTGTGGACGGTGCTGAAAATTCCATAGAGCCAGATTTTGATGATGCATCTACCAAAGGTAATGACCAAACAAGTGTATTCCTTCTAGATGCATGGGTATATTGACCATCACATTCATTAACAATAGGATTACAACCAACTGGTAGTGGAATACTAATTAGCACATCATTCAATTCTAAATCAGTGTGCTCAAGTTCGTATTCAATGTTAACATCACATCCATTTTCGCCATTTTCCGAGGGCCAACAATTAACTAAAAATTGAGAAAATTATTAGAAAATAAATTTCAAATTAATTGTAAATAATCATAATTTTTAAATGTGAGTCTGCTTACTAGAAAGCGGCAATGCCGTTTCATCCTGAGTTTGCAATCTCCATTTTAAAACACCCACGTCTGTATTTAATGGGAATGGTTTTGTTGGAATTTTCAAACCAATTTGTCCGTGTGTTCTAAATAGATCTTTATCTACATTTGGATGTGTCTGTAGCTGAATACCTCTCGCATCCTCATTTTCCAGCTGGACACGTATTCGGCCCCATTTTTCGTCAGATATATGAAGTGTCACTAAACCATGCAATTCAAAGTATTGAACTCCACCATCACGTCCCACACGAACATTAAGCTTTTCTTCTTGCCTCAAATGTACTCTGTAATCGTTATTGAAAAATTAATAGACTTTGATATATCTATACTGTTCAATACAGTCAGCTTATAAAAAATTGACTTACGGTTCTGTGTTAATTATTTGTGGCGCTATAGGCGCAATCTTATTGTCCGTAGATTTAGTATTGGCAACTACTGTTTCACCTTCTTCTTTCAATTGATCTACAAATGAATCTACATCGCGAACTTTTCCACCTAATTTCATTGCACTGGGTCCAGATGATGTAGGCTTTCTATAAAAATAACATTAAATAAAATTTAATAAAAACATGAATAATAATTAAACTTACGAAGATGGCGTATAACTTGGTTTGATAGGTTCAGGCACATAATTAGCAGAGTCTCCAACTGTAGGAGTTGGAGTAAAATTGTTACTTGTGTTCCCGTAACCTCCTCCAAAGCCAGGACTTTTGATACCACCCTTTTTATTAGCCTCCATTCTTTGCCTTTGTAATTCCTTTGCTTTCTCCCTCATCTTATTTTTAGCTTCACGTTCTTGTGTAAACCTTACAGCTTGATACACTCTTTCTTCGTGAGAATCCATCTCTACAAAGGTCCTAATTTGTGCAAGATTTACACTTTCTCGATAACCAAGAGCAACTATTTCGTCAAAGGCAAATATTAAGTTGAATGCATTGTCAGCTATTTCAGATTCTTCCATAGACTTACAGTACTCTGGAATCTATTGATTGACAGAAAAATATTAATTTATTGTTAATCAATTTTTCTTTTAATTTATTTGAAAGCAATACTTACAACTCGAGCAAACAATCTAAGAGTTTCTAAATCCTCTAAAATATTACTCGCTTTAGTTGTGATTAAAAGCATGTACAATTTTTCCAAAGGTTGATAGACATATCTAACTGATTCAGTTTCTACAAAAGTGTGCTGTTTTCCAGTACTCATTAATTTTGGAAAAGCTGCTAAAAGACCTTCTATTCTGGCTTTTGTCATCTCCACAAATTGCCGGGAAATAATAGCTGAAATAAAAAAATTAATTACAAATATTGACCTTAAGATCATCATGATAACGAAATAGTAAATTATTGGTTATGTAAATACATGATGTAAAAAAAAGTATTGTACTTACTTTTCCCGGTTTTTGTGGTTACAGCAGCCGCAATAAGTACCTAAAATATATAATTTATCGATTAACAATGAGAATTAATAAAATTTTAGTTAAATACTTGTGGCAATTAAATGAACATCAGGATGGCAGATGAGATTAATGGTTAATTAGTAGAATATAAGTAATTGACTTTATAAGCATGGGTGTGGCTATTGTATAAAGAAATAAAATAATTCAAATCTTGAAATATTTACCATTTTGATGGTCCAATTATTATTTCGGTAGCGGTGTATTTATTAACCTAATAAACAGTTGATTTGTGCCAGCGTATCTTTAACATATCACATCAGGAAAAGCGACGACAGAGGGGGCGCACTTTAGATGACGTGTGCAGACGTGACGTTCATGCAAGTTTTCACTGTGGCGACAAAATGAAAAGTAAGTAATAATGCTACCACTTGTAGCTGCTCCGAAATTGAGAAAAATTTTTATGTACAGTAAAGTATTTTTTTTATTTATTTAATTGTTCTTATTTATGTTTATTTTATGAATTTGATCATGTCATTCACACATTTACAGTATGCTAAATATCCACCAATCACAGCATTTTCTACCTACTTCCACTTCCTGTTCTATCGTATGAATACATTTTTTATCACACCAAAACATATTGCTATTTAAAACTTGATAATTCATGCTCATGTCTTTAGCATTTAATCGACATGGATAATCTTAGTCAGCAGGTATTGTTTTCGGAATAATAAACAAAATGTAATAAAAAAAATTTCTATCAATATTTTATTTTAGATCGATGAAGTTGAAGCCTTAGTGGCTATTTACGGAGACGATTGGCAAGTAGAAGATGAAGAGAATCGAGCTTTTAGTATGAATATACGTGATGGAGATAAATTCGTAAAACTTTATGTTAAATTATCTAATGATTATCCTTCTTCTGCTCCACCGTATTATGAATTATCAGCACCTCATTTAAATTTTCAACAAAAGAATCATATTTGTCAACTTCTTGAAGAGGTATACTTGTAGGTTTCATCGAAAAATTTTTTTAATTTTCTGTATTTATTTTATATAATTACAATCATTTGTCATTTTCTTATCAACATTACACAAAAAAACTTACATTAATAATTAAAATATTTATTTAGATCAGCGATCGGCGAACCAATTTTATATGCGTGGATTGAAAGAATTAGAGAAGAATTACAAATAAATAATAACAATGATCTTAAAGAACCAAATTCAGAAGAAAATGATGAAAAGATAGCCCAAATAGTACCGTCATTAAATGATATCGAAGAATGTCCAAAGATTTATCATGGTGATGTAATTGTAGATAGAAAAAGTTCATTCCAAGGCCATGCAGCTCAAGTATTTTCTGTTAAACAAGTCAAGTAGGTTATCATAATTATTTTCATCAATGAAAATTATTAATACTTTATTTATTTAATACCATAAATCATCAAGAAAATTTTACTATGACTATTTTAATATTTAGGTTAGTTTTGAAGAGTTTGCTGGAAATCAAAAAAATAGATCAAGCTACTCATAATATTTATGCATACAGAATACTGAATGATGATACAAAAATAGTAGCTCAAGATTGTGAAGATGATGGAGAAAGTCAAGCAGGTGGAAGATTATTACATTTATTACAAATAGTTGATGTAAAAAATGTGATAGTTGTTGTATCCAGATGGTATGGAGGAATACATTTAGGACCAGATAGATTTCGACACATAAATAATGCAGCTCGACAAGCTTTAGAGACTGCAAATTTAATAAGCAGAAATAAAGATCACAAAAAGTGAATTTGTATATATGTAAATAACAATATCTTTGATACAACAATGCTTGATTTATATATTTTTTTATGACTAGCATAAAAAATATCAAAACAACTTTAACTAACATTAAAATAATCAATGTATAAGATTCTGAAGAATAGATAAAATTGAAAATTTATAATATTGCACGCAATGTTATTTATATGATCAGTTATAAATATTAGTATCATAATTAAAGCAGTTTAACTAATTTTAGTAATACGAAAAATTGTGCTAAGAACAGAGGGAAAGGCTTAAAATGTCTAGATAAATTATTCAACGGATGAAACAACCACCCAATCATCTGTTTCGTCAAAAACTGTTGAGGAGACGAATTCTTTCGCGAGGGCTGCAAAAAAATTATGTTTTATAATAATTAACAATTTTATTCTAACTTGTTTTGAGATTATTTTATTTAAAAGAAAGGATTACCATTAAATTGATATTCCAGCTCCATTGAACGTCCATTTTTTTGGCACGGTTTTTTATTATAACTTTCATCTTCATCTGATTCATCTGTATGTTCACTCGCTACATCATTCTGTTCAGTATTCAATACTGGTGGTTCTATTGTAGGTTCTGTACAATTTACATATGTGATAGTATTAAGTGAATTATTAGTGCTTGAATCTAGCGAATAAATTTGGCTTCGTGACATATATTCCGATAAATCAAAGTTTAATACGTCAGCAAGTAATTTTTCCTTATTCTCTACATCCTTTTGTAGCGTCTCTAAATTTCTTTCAGGCTTCAGAAGTGATCCATCGTCAATGCTGAGAGTTAAAAGTGAAGAATGAGTTTCATGAATCGAATTAACATTTGAAAATGTATCTTGGTTTATTGTACTATTTTCATCGTCACATTTATTAATTTTTTTATTCTTTTTTTCCGGTGTAAAAACTACATCCTCAAAATCTTGTTCACTAATTTTTTGGAATATCTGACGCCGATCTTTCTTTGAATCATTATGATTATTGTTGCTATTTTTATTATCCTCTATTCCATATTCCATTTCTATTTTGATTTCGGTAATCAATGGAGTGTCGATATCCAATGGAAGAATTGGAGGCATTTCTGTAGCTTCTTCTGCTTTAACAACAGGATTAGGATCAACTCCACCCCGTGATGGTAATGCGCTTAATGCTTGAATAATATTACTCGGTGTAATCTTGCTAAATGGTATTGTTGAGACAATCGAATTTTCTTTAAGTTTCGATGTCAATCCAAGTAAGCTGACGGTTACCGGTTTGCTAATCTCGACAAATGATGGATGCGTTTTGTCCGTTTCCTCGCTCATTTCCACATTACATGCTTCCGGATGATAAGCAATTCTAATGATATTCCTTTCACCTTCAAGTACAAATATTTCATCTCGAGTACACGCTACATCTGTTATTTTTCTCAAGTCACAAACTACAGATGTAATTGCAATTGTTACTGGATTTATAACGTGAATATAATCTTCACTGTATGTAACGAAAAGATCATCGCAAAATGGTAAAAGAACACCAAATGTTGGTTCTCCTCTCTTTTTTTTCAAACTTTCTGGAGCTGGATTCAATAACATAACTTCTGTGTTACTAGTTTGAACAGCATCTTTAAATATCAACGTCTTTGAAACAGTTCCACTTTTATCTGCTTGCCAAAGCCTAAGTCCAGGTCTGCTAGCATAAATAATTGGCTCTTGAGTTGGTGTGTGACGAGTAGCAAAAACAGCTCCTAATTTTCCTAAACTTTTGCGTTCTTTTTGACCAACTTGAGATACTTTATTATTTTGATTTCGGTCAACTAAAATAGTTCTAAAAAGCGTAGAAACTAAAAGCAAGCCTTGTTGATAACTAAGTTGAACTACGGCATATTTTTCATTTAGTAGTTCTGATGATTTTGATAAATGCATGTAAAAATCTATTTCTGTTAAAACCACCAACCCGTCTTGATCTCCACTAAATAATTTCATACCATTTTTTGACCATTCAACTGAAGTAACTGGACTTCTATGTAGTCCTCCAATATTATATCTTTCAATTTGTTTTTTTCTTTTAGGTTTTAAACTATCAGGTAATGATTCTGGCAAGCTTTTTGGTATTTGGAAAACTGTAACGATTCCTTGACTATTTCCTGCAGCCACCATGTAATCTACTGTGGATATCAAACGAAGACACGTGATGCTTGCATAAGTATTTTCACATCGAAGCCTTTGAAGATCGCCAGTTGCTCGATCATACCAGTAAACTAATCCACAATTGGTTCCAATAGCAATAAATTCTGGTACCACATCGATGCATGTAAAAATGATATCTTGGGTGAATATTCCACTTTGCAGTTTTACCGGTATTTGCTGTAACAAACTGGTAAGCGGCGCCCACTCTCTCAAGGGTCCTCCATCCTCACTCATCGGAGTCATCATTATTTTTTGGAGTGATTACACACACATAATTTCACTCATTTATCCAACTACAAAAATTTCAATTGTTAAATTTGTTTTTACAGTCAGTTTGTCTTAAAGTAAATAAAATTACTTACGATTTTTATTAAATGCGGCAAATTGTATGCAAATGTAAAAAAATTCACACATGAGGCGATGTTCTAGAAGCTTTGGTTCATTAGATATTTGATTCGTTGTTTTTTTACCAATTAACTCCACACTATAATAATTCACTTAACAATACTACAATATAAATTATTATTCAATTCATAATTTGATTGTTTAATGTTTAAAATGTAAACAATTTTGACATTCAGTTTTTGGCATTTAACTCACGACGAAATTATTTATCTACAGCAGTAATAAAGGAGCGTTTTCAAAAGAATTTTTTATTTCATAACACACAGGTTTACCAACTGATCAAAAAATATTTCTAACCTTCAATTTTTCAATACATTTGCCGGGGAGTCGAAGAATCACGACAGTGTATCGAAATAATCAACATGATTTTGATTTAAAAATATTATTTTCACTGAATATTATTTCTAATTTTTTTTAGAATCTAATTTAACATGTCCTTACTAAACATTTATCACGTGTAAATACAAATTTAAAAAAAATTAAAAAGTGATAGTTGCCGCTAAGAGGTTAAATCAGTACATAAACAATAATTTGTAAATAGTTTAAAAAATGTCTGACGACGAAGATTTAGTTTATGTAAAGAAAACGAAAACTGTTCACTATGGATCTTTCGAAGAAGCTGAAAGAATTCGTTTGGCAGCAGCAGAACATGCAGATGAAGACAAAGATGGCTCAATTACTGGTAATGAATCAAGTGCTCCTGCTGCGGTGGGAAATATTCACATTTCAAATGAATACATGGAACTGGAAGATGAAATGTCCAAGGATAAACAAGCTTTATTGGAAGAATTTGAAAGAAGAAAAAAAGCTCGACAAATTAATGTTTCAACAGATGATTCAGAGGTGAAAAAAAATTTAAGACAATTAGGTGAGCCAATATGTTTATTTGGAGAGGGTCCAGCTGACAGAAGAGCAAGATTAAGAGAATTACTTGCTAGTCGAGGGGAAGATGCGATCAGAAAGAAGCTTGATGATGAAGATAAACCATTACACATTGTGGAAAAGGAAATTGAAACGACTTGGTACCATGAGGGACCAGAGTCGCTACGGATAGCACGAAAATGGATTGCACGTAATATTTTTCGCTATTTAAGATAAATAATATACAAGCATTTTTAAGATAAATAATTTATTCATATAACTCATATTTATATTATTTCTTTGTAGATTATTCATTACCTAGAGCGAAAGAGAGATTAGAAAGAGCAAGAGAAGAATTAGCACTTCCTGGAGCAACAAGAACTGCTCGAAAACAAGAATTGTTGAAGAAAATTCAAATATTAAGCATTTACTGTTCACAAGTTGGTGATACAAGGCCTATTTCGTATTGCCAGTTTAGTCCTGACTCAAAACTCCTAGCTACCGCTTCATGGTCAGGCTGCTGTAAATTATGGTCCGTACCTGAATGTACACTTTTACGTACACTCAAAGGACATAATCGTTTAGCTAGTTGTATTATATTTCATCCAAAAGCAACCATTACAGAGGACGTTCTTGGTGAAAATAGTAGTCGAGCATGTGTTTTAGCAAGCTGCGATGCTGATGGAAAAGTTAAGCTATGGGCTGGTGGAACTAGCGAAGAACCTCTTGCAGAACTTGAAGGTCATGAGAAAAGAGTTTCCAAAATTGACTTTCATCCTTCTGGCCGATTTTTGGGAACTTGTTGCTATGATTCTTCATGGAGACTTTGGGATCTTGAACAGCAAGAAGAAGTTCTTCATCAAGAAGGACATACCAAGGCTGTCCACTGTATCAGGTAATTTAGTTTGTTTGATGTCAGCCAATATCAAAGAATTTAATAGAATTAATAGAAATATTTTTCTCTAGCTTCCAAGTTGATGGTAGTGTAGTAGCTACTGCTGGCCATGACTGCTTCGGTAGAGTCTGGGATCTCAGAACAGGAAGATGTATTATGTTCATGGAAGGTCATTCAAAGTCAATTTTTGGAATTAATTTCTCACCTAATGGCTTCCAAATGGCTACAGCAAGTGAAGATAACACTTGTAAAATTTGGGATTTACGAAAACGCACATGTTTGTACACAATTCCAGCTCACACCAATCTCTTATCAGATGTCAAATATCAACGAGGTGAGGGTCAATATCTGATTACGGCTTCTTATGATAACACTGCTAAAATCTGGTCTAATAAGACATGGCAGCCATTGAAAACTTTGCAAGGACATGACGGCAAAGTTATGTCCGTTGATGTTTCTCCAGACAACAAATTTATCGCAACAAGTTCGTATGATCGAACGTTCAAGTTTTGGGCTCCAGAAGGCATGTGATTGTCGTAAATTTGTTTATAAATATTTTATATTCTGCAGGGAAAATAAATTTTTGAAATATTCTTACATTTATCTTTTCTCTTTCGCAATATTATGACTTTAATCGATAGATAAATTTTGATGAAGATAAGTAAGTCCTCCATTTTCGGAGAAATCTTGAACTGTGTGTCCATCACCTGTCAGAATCCATTTAGTTGTTAGAAGCCCATCAACACCAACTGGTCCCCTTGCATGAATTCTCGCAGTTGAAATTCCCACCTTGAATGCAATAAATTAGCTTATTAAATTATTTCATTACGTTAATCATTGATAAATTTTTATAAAAGTGAAGATAAGAAATTACTTCTGCTCCTAATCCGAATCTGTATCCGTCAGCGAATCTAGAACTAGCATTATGGAAGACACAAGCGCTATCAACTTCTCTTTGGAAGTGCTTAGCTCTACTTGGATCTTCTGTAACAATAACATCAGTATGGTAACTTCCATACTTGTGAATGTGATTAATTGCTTCATCTATATCAGGTACTATTTCGATTGTACACTCAAGAGACCCATACTCAATCTTCATGCTTTTTGCTGTAGGCGGTCCGAAAGTTAATTGTTCCCGTAGTCTTGGTCCAGCGTTTATTTTCACCTAAAAATAATAATAAATTATTTCTATTCAAAATAGAATAAATTTATAAATGTAAAACAGTTTTGAAAAGTATAGATGTAATCATTAAACTTACACCTTCTTTTCTTAACATATGACAAACTTCTTGAAAGAAATTTCCTTCCATAAGACTGTCATGAATAAGAAGAGTTTCCATAGCATTACAAGCAGCTGGATAATCACATTTAGAATCGCGAATTATTTTTAAAGCTTTCTGAAGATCGGCATTTTTATCTACATATACATGACAGATTCCTTCAGCATGTCCAAGAACTGGAATATGTTTGGACTGATTTTGAATCGTTCGAACCATCTCAGAGCTTCCCCGTGGAATAACTAAATCGATATGTTTATCCATTGACAAAAGATCACTGACTTCTTCACGTGTAGATACTAAAGAGATGGCGTTGGAAGCACCAAATGGATTTAAAGCTTCTTTCACTAGTTCTATAAGACATCGATTACTACATATAGCTTCTTTACCACCTTTTAGAAGTAATCCATTCGCACTAGCCATAGCTAACGCAGCTACTTGAGGTAAACTGTCAGGCCGTGATTCAAAAATCACTAAAAGTACTCCAATAGGAACTGTAATCTGCTTTAGTTCAAGCCCTTCGGCAATTTTGGTTCTTCTTAATACTCTTCCTACGTTCATTAGAGATGAATCTGCTATTTGACGTAAACCTGAACTCAAAGATTTTAGCTTTGAAGGATTGAGAGATAAACGAGAAAGAAGAGGCTTTGCCAAACCAGACTTTGAAGCTTCTTCAAGGTCTTTAGAATTTTCTGCTAAAATATCTCTTTGTTTATTTTCCAACAAATTTGCTAAAGTCCTGATGCAATCAGCTCGCTCTTCTGGCTTTAATGATTGAAGCATTCTACTTCCTACTCTTGCATTTTCTGCTACGATCTCAATTGGAGTTGAAGCAATCGGAGTTTGAGTAAAAAAAGTACCAATCTTTTTTCCACTCAAAATATCCTTGATAGCTTTCTCTTGTGCTCCATTACAAATGACTACTGATATTCCACGATCGAGTGCCCATAGAGCAGCTGTCACTTTAGAATCCATTCCTCCAGTGCCAACTTTGGACTTTTCTCCAAATTTAATGGTCTCCCGGAGGTCAGAGCTGAACGTGTGAAGCAACTTAGCACCGTCTTGCCAAGGTGGTAGATTATAAATGCCATCTACGTCACTCATGAGAATTAGAAGATCAGCTTGAACTTCTGCAGCTAACATTGCAGCCAAAGAATCATTGTCTTTGATTGAAATGCCTTTCCTTCCACCACTACCAGCAACCTCTTCATCAACTGGAAGTGGCGGCGACACTGCATCATTAGTGTTAATTATTGGTACAATATTAAGACTAATTAGCTCACTTAGAGTACTAATAAGATTTTTTCTTGTTTCTTCATTATAAAAATCAGGCTTTGTTACTAAAACTTGGGCCAATTTCACACCATACTGTGCAAACATGGCATCATATAGAGACATAAGTCCAGATTGACCTACTGCCGCTGCTGCCCGAGGTTCTAAGAAATTTCCTGCAATAAGTTTAAGATATTATCTGATTTTTGTGCTTTTTTTAGCATAGTTTATCATTAAAGTGTGATTTAAAGTAGAACAAATATCGAAATGATAAGCAATTGATAGGCACGATGGCAATCTAAGGCTCAAAGACCAATCATTAATGCGAACTTACCTACATGCTCTCGAGAATGATCAAGTGGACTAAGTGTTTCTCTCATAGAAAGGGACATCAACAATTCTTGTGTTAATTTTTGCTTTCCAAAAGCCACTGCTCCACTGGTCACCATAACACATTCACGACCTTCAATCTGGCATTCAGCAACTTGTTCAACAATTGATGCTAAGCGGCCTAACGCTAATCCATGTTCATCTTCCCGCGTTATGATTGCACTTCCCAGCTTAACAACTAATCTCCGTGCATATTTAAACTGACTTCTATCAGTGAAGGTAGTTTGTTGTCGTGACTTTTCAGTCGTCTGTACTTGACGACGCAATTCCATTGGATGAGTCTGAAAGTTGAAAAAAATCCTGAGTCGATGAGGTGAAGTAGAGGAGTTGTTTGAGTCAACTTACAGACTGATTTCGTGGCATCCAAGCCCAACTAGAGGCATATACAAGCCTTGTTTGTGACAGATGGCTCGTCCTTGAGCATCTTGTTAGCAACTTAGTGTACATGTTTTTATTTGGCAAGGATATTACGCACAAAAAAAATCGTTGAATTATACCCGACGATCGAACAATGAGCTACTGAAGCTTTGACGTTGCCAGCAATCGTTTACAGGCTGGGGAGACCTCCTTATCGGTATCAAGACAAGATTAGAAGGCATGAGGATGAGTCTCTTTATATTCTTGTACTTGTCAATCACACATCAGGAGTACGTAAAGTATGATACGTTAATGCCAGTGACCCTACTGATGTTTGCGGAAGCTCGAACTTTGATCTGTAAAACAAAAAACAATAAAATATCATGTTTTATTTATTTCATCTAATTATTTACATGAGTTTTATAATAGTTTCAAGTAACAAAGTCATTAAATCATCATTTTGGACCTCCTTTAAAGGCGATATAACTCTATCATCAACTCATTGATTAGACGTTCGTGATAGTTAACCATTGTAATACTAATGTTTTAATAAAATTAAAGGATCATCGCGTGATCAAACGACGTTAATTTAGGCTTTTATGGATAAGCTGATAAATACATTAAAACGATAATACTAGTTTTCAAATGGTATGTAGCGTGAGAGGATGAGAAAAAAGAAAAAGTATAATTGAATAATTAACCTTCTCTTTTTTGTCCTAAGAGGCGATTGTTTTAACGAGTTCAAGCTGCAAAAAAGATCAAAATCGATAAGTAAATGTATGTTTGTTTTATTATTATCAACCCGTATATTTTGTAAAATTCATTAATAAATTTGAATAAGGATTTGAGTCAATAATTATTCTTCTTTTCAATAGTTGCAGATTGTTCAAGTGAGAGAGAAAGAAAACTGTCAGGAAGAATTAAAAGTTACTTTCCACTCTGAAGGTTTGATACAATGAAGGTTGAAAAGTGTTAACGACCAATTACACTTGTAAGAAACTGCTTCTTTTAGTTAGAAATCCATGTGATGATGTTGAAAATTTGATGTTGAATTTCGTTCAATCTCAATTGAATTATTGTTTATTACAGATGGATTCTAAGACATTATTCTTGGATAAAATTTATACATTTTTTTTATTATTCAATACCAGAATTATTTTTTATTGCTTTTATTAACATAAATTCGGACGCGCCTGCGTCTCCGTATTTTCGACATCAGCGTCGACGCGACCCTTGTCACTGGCGCATCGAAAGAAAGACCAACTTGACCTAGTGCTCGTCGAACGACGGTTACGACGGCTTCACCATGCCGTCGTGTATCACAACTGAAAACTGACCTCAGGTAATAATAAAAACTGTGAAATTTGTGATTTTATATTTATTCATGATAACCAACCGGAAATAATTATTTAGCAATAAAGCAATTTAACTTTTATCCTTTGAATCATGAAATTCATTTTTTCCGGCAATAAATAATCATTTGTGGCTGGTTTGTTTTGCATGTTAAAGAAACATGAGAGTATCAGGATTATGGAGATGATCAGAGTATGAAGAAGTATCAAAGTAAAGATGACAAATAGTGTCTAACAAGTAGACAAAAAGCAAAAAAAGTTTCCTGGTGAACGTTTATGGGATCTCCTAAAGGGATTATCATTTGGAGCAAAGTTTTAGTTTCTCATGAAAGTGATTAATCGCGTGGGTTAACCAAGCGATCGACTTGCTAAATCATCGTGCTTGAGTGATCAATAGGGGTGGTATTGCCTCTAGTCTGCTTTGGTGGCAATATGAGAGGTGTACACGAGAGATATAATAGGAAAGGGCTTATCGCGAGGTAGTAGAAACAACAGAGAAAGCCACAGATTATCGATTATCGCAAATCACTTTATAAATAACCGATCGTACCACCCACTCTACATAAATGTCGCTTGTTTCTTACACTGTGTACATAATATAAGTACTTAGTTATTTACTACAATTAACAACCACAAGTTAATTTGTATTTTTCTTCAAATGGATTATAATTGATCAACAAACAATCAAAGGTTACTAGCGCTTTCTCTCGTGACTGGATTATTCAATAGACCTTTCAAGCTCCATTTACTCAATCCTTCCTTACGGGAAATAATTTTATTTTGCACGAGAGACGTGCGTTCGTGCACGTTAAATACTTTCATCACTTGCTTTTACACGCTAAGGTCATACGTCTTATATTCTAATCCAAGATTATGCTTCTAAATTAAAGGTTAAACTTTGAATCATAATTGTTTACTATTTACCTTTAGTGTCAATTCCTGTTGAAATAATATCAACATACAAATTAGTGTTGCTCAAATAATTTAATATTTCGCTTGTTCATATCTCCTTTTTCACGGATCAAATACTCTTTTGGGTTGAAAACAAAGCATTTAAATAAACAAGAAATAATTGCAAGTTGTTGCGAATCTGCAACAATTATTTAGTGTTATATAACGCTATGTTAAACAAATATTTTCCTTTAATTAATTGTATAACAACTTCATTCACTTGGCTCTCTTATTGATGCTCTCCTTTGTCCAGCTTTGAACACTTTCGAGTAGACTTCCCGAGAGTTAGAGTGTGATAGAATACGAGTAAAGAGCATTACTCGTGAATGTATTTGCTAGAATTCTTTTGTTTTGTTCAAGACTATGTTACATAAAACTAAAAAACTATCTCTCTGATTACTTTTTATGAAAAATATTTATAAAAATATTCTTTTATAGACCAAATTCAGGAAAAAAAACTATGAATTTTATTTATGACGCTTTTAATATTGTCGTTATCATGTCATTAAAACTTCATATGCTCCAAAAGATCCTTTTTTACTATTAGAATGACAAAGTTTAAAATATTACTAAACTTTTGAATATTTCTTGATAATTTTTTTTCATAAAAAACATTTTATTCAATCATCATTTTAAATAACAGTTTGTCACAATTGTGGCATAAAAATTCTTCATTTTTACTTTTTGGAATCGAAACTTCATTGTTTTAGATGGTAACAGTTTCTGTTTTGATCCCTGTCCAAAACAGTGGTTTCAAAATATATTTATTGTTCAATTCAGTGAACTTGGATGTATGAGTGCGCTTCGTTGTTTCCAATTGTAAACTTGGAAATAAATACATTTCAAAGATATTTGTAATAAAGATAAAAAAAAAATCAAAAAAAAAAAAAGAATTTTTAGATGATTGATTAAAAACACATATATGAACATTTTCTGAGTTATTTTAATAAATAAAAATCTCTTTATTTAGCTTGTTATGACATGAAACAGTTGAAAGTTTCATTATTAACAAAATTATTTAATTAAATTTATTCATCCCAAGTATGTTCTTGATAATAATAAAAGCAAATTTGCTCTGCTAAATTATCACTGTAATTAATCCAAACAATATTTACTTGATTAAAATAGTTTCCATCCAAGTAAATTGATTTATTTACAATCAAAACTTCCCACTTAGTCTAATTGTGATTCAAATAATACATGAATTATTCAATGAAGAGAAATATTAGATATAATAATTATATCTTATTAATTTTATAACACTGATAATTTTTATTTAGAAAGATATTTAGTTAGCAAAAAAAAATGCACACTATAAAAAGTCTTTTGATAAAAAATACTTTAGCAAGCTCCAAAATTATAATGTTCTGATGGATATATGATACTAACTTGTTCACGTCGAATAGCAAATATTTAATCAGCAGTGGTTGATAGTTAGTTATTTTTAGAAAATAATCATTTCAAGTTCAATATTGTCAGCATATTTCTTGAATGAATAAATTGGAAATGTCCAACTTGAAAAGTACGTTTATGTCTAGCGGTTGTCTTCTCACTTGTCCCAATTTTTTGGGATCCAAGTCAATTTGAAATAAAGAAGAGTTGACCCGGAAAGTGACTCCTCGGTTATACAAACGTCAAGTTTTTTCTTGTTATTTTCTATTTCTTTCTCTTATTCACAGAGTCTACTGAACATGCTTAATTTTATAATTCTTATTCTTTTTGGTATTAATTAAAAATCCTTAAAGAATAGTTACCATTTTGGTTTTAAATTATAAGAGAATTGAATAGCTTTAAATATATTTTTATTCATATTTAAACCATATTATATTTAATATAAGCATCTTGAACTGCTGACTGAGTATATAAGAATCTTCTGATAATTATATTCTTGAAAGTTGAAAGCAAATGCAGAAAGTTGTTTGCTTATTCAATAACCTGGAGAACTTCTTGGTACCTGTCAGAAAGGGTAGTTAAACTCTTGAGAATATTTTTTCTGTTTGATAACAAACTAGGTGCTCTCTCTTGTAGATAATGTACTTCTATTGTGTCATAACATTGATAGAAATGTCAATTACGAATCAAAGTTTTTCAATATTCTCAACTTTATGTAAAACTATAAAGAATATTTATAAGAAGGTAAAGTTCTTCTTGTTCAAGTTTCTAGAGCCAGTTATAAACTTGATGAAAACCGAAATTATAGACAAAAAAGAGTAATTCATAATGCGGGTGATAAATAGCCAACCTAGGGGTAATTAAGAAAGTTTTTAAATTTAGGTGAATGATATTCCAATGCAAAAAAGGTAGAGAAGCTTTTGAAATTGGTCATACGAATCGTAGTTGGCTACGTTAACGAGGTATCAAAGTGGAATCCAAGGGGAAAAGTGGTTGAAGCCTCTTGGGATGGGAAAACAGTCGCTAGTGGTCATGGACACATGGACATGCTGGAAATTCATGTTGCGGTAGATTTGATCTCCCATTGGAATATGTACTTCACTTGAGGCTTTAGAATATTAACTATACTATGTTCGTATCTAGTAATTGAGTGCCTTTCATTTATAATATAGCATTAATTAGGAATTAGATTAAAAAATGTATAATCAAATAGAGTAAATGGAAAGAACTTTTTTTACTCCAAATATTCCTCATTTATTCAACAAAGTGTAATTGTGTTGAGTTTGAAAGGTAGTAGTAGTTGGAGTAAAATCACCACTGTCTGAATATATTTCAGTAAAGTTTCAAATCATCAGCTTTTACTTGAATAGAATCCTTCTATCAGTCATTCAAGTTCAATATAAATTTTAACATAAAATTAGATAATGTTTTCAACTACCTTTTTTAAGCGAAAATTTGAATGAATGATTTAAAGATAGTTTGAGAAAATTGTACCGTTAAAAGCACTTGATTTCAATATTAATATTTATTTTGTTTTATTATTCAATATCAATAAATATACTTTTTTATGTATTTAAGTGTCGATAAAAGATTCCATGACTAGGGTTGTCACTTTATCATCAAAATAAATATTATTATTAATTATTAAGCTAAATTGATCGACTTGTCACCCTGGCTTGAAACATTATCTTTATTTTCCATGCCTCAAACATTTTTTTATGATGGATAATCGTTATTTGAGGGGAAAAATAGACAATGAAAAAAATATTGTATAGCAAGCTATAAATTGATTGAAAAAAGTCTTCCATTTGTGAGATAAATTAAATGAAAATGAATATTTTTGATCAGTCATGAAAAGCTCAGTATTGGATTCCAAAAAATATTCTTTCATCGTATAATAAAATGTTTCAATGAATAGAGCTTGGTATTTTTTTGAAATATTCACATAACATTGAATAAAGTAATTTTCCTAATAACTAAATATAATGTCAAAGTTTTCTGGTATATGGCAATTTTAGTGATTGAATATAATTGTTTTAATGAGTGTTTTATGGAAATTTATTAATTTTTGACACATAGGATTCAAATTCACTCATCAATTTTGATAGAAGGTAATTAAATTGCTTATTAGTGATCATAAATTATAAACTTGCATAATTTATTGATTAAACTGACTTTAAAAAGTGAACAATTTACTAGCTCTTTAGGAGAAATTTATGAAAGTAATGATAAAAAGTACCAAATATTTATGAGAATAATTAACATACGTGGAATAATTATTCCGGCTCAGAGCATTATCTATTCCACGGATTCTGTGTAAAATATTCTTTCCAATAATTTGTATATTTTATTAATATTATGACCAAATGAATAATTTCTAGGTCAAATGAGTTTAATATCTTTAATAACATCAAAACAACTATTAAAAAATAATCTTCTGTTAAATTGAAAACTTGATAAAATGAATAACAATTTATTCAATTGATTACTATCAGGAATTTACAATTGAGTAGACTTTTTTGTTGTTAAAATTCATATTTTATTTAATAATAATTTACCATTCTAGTGCTGCAATATTATTAAAAAAATATTTATATATCTTTTGGTATTTATTTTAAGGTAAATAACATAAAGAAAATTTTCTAATTTTGATAATATTATCCATATGATTTTCTACTCCTGAAAAATGGTTATATTATAGATTCATTTTTATGCTACCATCATGAGGATAGGTTCATATCCGGCGTACTGGTACATTTACCTTAAAGCTATCAGTAGAGAATAGAAAAATGAGAAGCGAATTTTCTTTTAAATCATATTTAAATTACTATAAAAAAAGGATTCAAAAATTTTACAAGCTTTATAAATAAATAAATACCTAGAAAAATTTTTGTAAAAATATTTATATTGCTATATTACAATAATTTTGCAATAATCAGAAATAGCTAATCAGAAATTGTAGTAAATATTCTAGAATATAATTGAGAAGAAGAAAAGAATATGGATAAACTATTTTTGATCTGTCGTAATCTCATTCGTATCTTTGATAATTAGAATTTATTTTTGCATTTCACAAAATACTGGTTTGTTCCAATCGATTCCAGTGTTTGTTATCAACGTTCGTCATTGAAATTGTAGATCACCTTGTAAGTATATTGATGATAAAAATTGAACAAGTTTGGATCTGGTATTTTTAGACTTTATCGGATAATTCCATCTCACTCTCTATGCTATTCTAAGAGTCAATTAAAACATTTTCAATTTTTTTTTAGAATGTTCACGTTATCAAATAACAATAAAATTAAGATTAAAAAACAATGTCGTGCATAAATATTTAAAAAATCTATCAATATTCAGAGGAGTCCATAAATATGGTTCTCGAATAGTATCAATTTAAAAATAGTAAACAAATATATGAAAAAAAGTTATTTACAGACAATTTGTGCTAATTGAATCATATCTATAAATTGTGCAAAATAAACTTCTCTTACTATCAAATAAAGCAGAATGAACTTCTGTAATAGGTTTATTTTGTTTTACATTTCCTTCAACCATAATGCTCGTCACATAATAAAAAGTAATATAGCAATAATAGTATCTTTATTTTCTAGAAACCATTCCGGAGAGGATGAATGCGAGCGGGGAATCCGGCGGGACGATGGCGAGTGATGATTACGACAGCTGCAGTAGTGCAGAGGAAGATTCAGGTTCGAATTTGCCACCTTGGGAGGCAGCAACAGCTGCTTTGATCCTAGGATTTTTAGTGCTTGCAACAGTGCTGGGAAATGCACTAGTGATACTATCAGTATTCACCTATCGACCTTTAAGAATAGTCCAAAATTTTTTCATCGTCTCGCTGGCAGTTGCAGACTTGGCAGTGGCAATATTGGTGATGCCATTTAATGTGGCTTACCTCTTGCTGGGTAAATGGATATTTGGAATCCATCTATGTAAACTCTGGCTTACATGTGATGTTCTATGTTGTACAGCAAGTATCTTAAACTTGTGTGCGATAGCTCTTGATCGTTATTGGGCCATAACAGATCCCATAAATTACGCGCAAAAGAGAACATTGAAGAGAGTGTTAGCAACAATAGCTGGAGTTTGGATTCTTTCTGGAGCGATAAGCTCACCCCCGCTCGCTGGCTGGAATGATTGGCCGGAAGAAATTGAGCCAGGGACACCTTGTCAGTTGACACAAAGACAAGGTTATGTTATTTACTCATCACTTGGTTCCTTTTTTATTCCACTACTTCTTATGAGTCTCGTCTACTTGGAGATATTTCTAGCGACCCGACGGCGTCTTCGTGAGCGTGCTAGACAGAGTCGTCTGGGTGCTGTCGCGTCAACACGACAAAAACATGAAGCAGACGACGCCGAAGAGTCTGTCAGTAGTGAAACAAATCATAATGAACGTTCGACACCTCGTGTTCAAGCCAAACGTAGTTTGGTTGTTGTTGACGATGAAGCTGCGACGGAGGTAACTATTAATGCAACTCCATCACGTACCAGCAGTCATCCACGAAGACACGGGGTCACAACAATGAATACCACTTCCACCACTGTCTACCAATTCATCGAAGAACGTCAGAGAATTTCATTATCTAAAGAAAGACGTGCCGCCAGGACATTAGGAGTTATTATGGGTGTCTTTGTTGTCTGCTGGTTACCATTCTTCCTCATGTACGTAATCGTACCATTTTGTCCAGCCTGTTGTCCTTCTGAACGTGTCGTCTACTTCATCACTTGGCTGGGGTACGTCAACAGTGCGCTCAATCCTCTTATTTACACGATATTTAACCTAGATTACAGAAGAGCCTTTCGTCGATTGCTTCACATTCGCTGATCCACAATGCCTCGTGAATTTACTCACGTTTGATTGATATTTCCAAGTATTTGAGTACTTATTTTTTCATTTTAAGCTAGAGATTTGCTAAAATCACAAGTGCATTGAGCACATAACATATTCAAATCTAGAAATAACGGAAACAAGAAAGAACTTGCTAACTTCAACATAAAAAAATACACACACACACACACATTTTTTTACAAAGTTGACCAAACTTCACTATGTAGGTCAAAAAACAATTGTACCTAAGGATATTGAAATCATTTGCGCTGCTTTTAATGCTTTTCTGTATTTTTTTCTGCCTTTCTCTGTTCTATCATCTTTTATTCTCTTATCAATACTCCAGAATTTTCGATTCTCATTTTGCAATACAATTCTGGAGAACTGAGAAAATTGCGAGGAAATTGAACAGACTAAGAGCATGAAAATGAGAGAAAGGTAAGGAAAAAAACAGAAACAGTAAATATGAAAGGAGTAAGATCTAGAATTGAAATTGAAAGAACATTTTTGTTATAACAGTAATGATGATGATAGACATTGGAATTACACTATCCAAAATTCATATAATTGTAACTAGCAACGACGAAGACTCGTGTAATTAATAGGTTAATGATTTTAATTGCCAGTAGAGAGCGTCAATCCCCCCGTAATCTCCGTTATATAATTCCAAGTATTAAGGTTGTGAGTATTATAATTATTAAGTAACTATTAAGTAAATAAAATTCATATTTAAATATTGCGACAAAAAGTCGACAAACATATCGACTTAGCCTCGGTGACAACAAAAAAAAAATAATATGATGAAAAATCGAAAAAAAATATTGTAACGTCCGAATTTATAATCGGAATACAAACATACATACTCTAATAAGGTTGTGATAAGGTTGTGAGATATACATTAATTTTTAGCCGTGCTTCGAGTATGGGAATTTTTAATTGAGAAAATGATAAACTTAGCGGTGATTGTAATTAATTTAAGTAATGTCCAATAACAGCACGAACTCTCTTGACCAAGGCATTGGCACATCAAGCAATCAATAGACTTCTAGGAGGTGGTGAATGTATGGGTATATATCCTGATATCACGTTCACACAAGAGTAAAGTTTATTTATTGTTGTAGATATCAGGATAATATTACTAGTACTTTTTACTTTCAACTCACATACTGGTTTATATTGTGTTATATCATTTTAAGATAATTGAACTTTGTCTATTACTTTTCAGACTTTTTCATTCTTTGAGACATCACATCTCTTCGCCATTTCATCTCAAAAACACTTTTTTTATTATTATTATTATTCTTATATGTTAGTTGTTATAATTATATTTATAGTCACTTTGTTATTGATTGAATATATGAAAGCGTACGCTTCAACTAGTTGAATTATATACAATTTATTCAATATGGTCAGTTTGATTAATCTATTTTTTATGCAAACTAATTGATATCGATTTGGAAATAGTTGACTTTTAGATTGATGTATTTTTTTAATGGGTAGACATAGACAAGCTGATAAAGTACACGGAGACAAATAAATAGGCATTTATTTGTTGAGTGGTTGTTTATTTTGTTTATTTATTATTAAGGTTTTTTGATGAATGAGGTAAAATATACCTTATTATGATACTTTTTTCAAAGAAAAATTCATTCTTGCATTAAATGCAATAAAATTTGAATCGTAGGTTTATGATTTATAAAAGTGACTCAAGCTTTTATGCAAAAAAGATGAAATAAAATTTTTTTCTATGCACTTGGTTATGGTTTTATTCAATAACAAAGCTTAGACTTGTTAAAAAAAATGAAGTTCATTAAACTTTTTTTAGATTTGAGTTTTTTTTTTTTTGAATAAAAAAGCAAATTGAATTATTTAGGAAGCGTTTTTGATTGAACATTTTATTGAATTTGATTGAATTGATGGAAGCAATATCGTAGATTTTTTTTCTGTTCAAATTAACAATCTAACTGGGAAAATAGAAATAAAAATATGGAAATATTGTATTTGTCCAGTATAAAGCTACATGTTTGCACAATTTTCGAAGAGGTTTATTTAAATGATAACGAAAAATTAGATATTTTTGTTGAATAAATAAGAATAAATATATAAAATATAGATAAGTTGAAACTTAAAAAAGATAGTTGAGAAATAAATATTTATAAATGTTGAAAAAAATAAGTTTTGTTGTTAAATAAAAATACTTATGCTTAGATGTATTTTTTATATTTATCAAAGAGTTTAAAGTGTTTATATAAAAATTATGAATATTTTTTATAGGAGTTTTACAATTAAATATTTCATCTATCAAGTTCGTTGAAGTTTTAAGTTATTAACTGTTTTACCTAATATTTAAAAAAAAACTTTCAAATCCTATAAAAAATTGAATTTTTTATTGATAAAATATATTATTCACTTTTGGAGCATAAAACTTTTTAAGCTCATTTAAAGTAATATTTTAAAGTCAATTTTGAAATTCATTAATAATACAGTTTATCGTTTATTAAAAATTATGATGATGGCTTTTTTTACATACAAATAGAGGAGCTTAAAAAAAGAAAATAAGAAATACTATTTTTATTACGGAAAGTTAAGTAAAACTTGACTTATTCATCATACTTCAAACAGTTTAAAGCTTATTTTTCTACTGTACTATTTTTTTTCCTTTTATTTCATTACATTTTAATTTAATCATAAAAATATTTATTTATTAAATTGTAAATGAATTATTTACTTATAATTTGTAATAACACTTTGTACCACATTTTTTATATCCCCATATACTAATTTGTAATTCTATCAGAAAAGTTTTCTTTCATCACGACATTACTGTACTAAGTTTGTTGGAATTTTTCTCCGTGTATAATAACAGCAATCAATCAATGCTGAAAGACTAATTTTTAATTCAATTATTTATAAGTTTTTAATATACTTTTGAAAAGTGATTTTGACATTTTTTAAATAAAGATTTATCGCCTTGAAAATTTAAATTAGAGGTTTTTCATTCATATGATTGAATATATAATATGCATTTTTCTATAAATATTTAATATGATTTTGTAAATAAAATTTTCTGCTTATTCGTTGCCTTGGGAAGGAAGCTCGAGCTGTATAGATTTATCATAAGACGATTTATTTCTCCTTGAGCTGCTTTCTGACAAAGTAGAGTCTGGTTATTTGCGGTAAAATTATCCTCCTCTTTGTTCCCAAGAGAACAAAATGGAATACTTGATATATATACATAACATACTAAGCGCGGTTTACATTGACATTCGAAATATCGATTATTCCAAAAATTCCAATGCCTTGTCTCACCTCGAAATTATATATAACAAAACAAATAATTAAATGCAATTTCTGCATTTCATTGCAAGCATAAAAATTAAAGTCTATTTTAATTTAAAATTAAATTTATTTCATTTTTTATTGTACAACAAATAATATGTATTCTTTACTTTCTTTCATACTATATTTTTTCATGATAAAAAGACGAAAAACAAAGATGTAAACAATAAAATTTAATTTAAAATCTAAAGTTAAGGTAAATATAAGATCACTTGTAAAAAAAAAAAGAACAAAGCTAAAAAAAAGTACTACATTTCCAAGTGTTTACTCGGGTGGATAACTCTTGTGGAAGAAAAAAAAGCCACTCACAGCTTTCGAGGTTTTTTTCTTTAATGATTGATGACGAAAAAAAAATGAAGCTCGAACTAGGAAGAAGCTCAGGGAGAAAATGTAGGGCCTGATTGCCCAATTAAAGATATAATTCTTTATTATTAACAAATAAATAAATATATATATTTATGTAAATTATGGATACGAGTGGATAGAGTTTATAATCATTCGTATGTGTAATTTACGTTTAGTTAAAAAAAGAAAAAATACTCAGTTGGTTGTGATTTACAAGTATAGCAATATAATATAATAGGTATGGAGGCAGTGAGGTATAACGACCAGTTTGCTACCAGCGTTGGGTGAATTAAAAATACTTGAATGTGTTTGAAAGCTCGATAAAAAGAGGTTGAAAGAATTTTCCCTCACTTGAAAAATAAGGTCGATTTAAAAACATTTCAAAATTGAGTATAATGATGTATAAGCAGTATAGACAGAAATATTATTTAAATTGTCATTGATCAAAGGACGTTCACTCAACGCATCGACTGATACATGTAAATAATAATAAATTTAACATTCAGTCGAGAAAGAACATTTTGAATTTTATCACATATGAAATAAAAGAGTGAATGGGTACATTTATTCGATTATATTGTGTATATGCAGTTATTTATTATGATTATTATTCATTAAAAAAAAATCTACGATTGTTTTATTTAAGTCGATAAACTTGTGATTTATGTAAAAAAAAAGAAAAAGAAAAGAAAAAAAGAGAAAGACATTCAAAAACGAGAAAATGCAACCAGAAAATAAAACTCCATCTCTTGACACGCGATTTCTTTTTGCGTCACATTTGCGTGAGCAATAACGTAAGTTACAAAGAAATAAATAACTTGTAAAAAGAAAAATAACCGAAATTTTTAGCTATAAATCATCTTCGTGAGAGAAGAGATGAAAGATCGGTGGATTTATTAGAAATTGAATGATTTAAATGAAAAATAAAATGATTTAAAAAATGATTATTGATTAATTCAATTGAAAATCCTAACATAACCCTACCACCTGCTGTCAAGACTGACAATACTCGTACGAGATACCAACAGAGTTGATTATTGAAGGTTGAAGGTTTGCTAAAATTTTTAAGACTACCGTGAATTCTTAATAAAATCGACGGTTTTGGGTAATAATAGTGCGCAAGCGTGGCAAATAGTCGATATATGCCGACAAGCTCGAGCCCCAGGACTCACCTGACGTGTCTGATAACGTTGTATAGCCGTGCACCACTGCGTGCGACGCCCTTCTCATAGAATCACATAACCCTGTCATATATCTCACCCTTGCAACACAATTTCATTTCAGATACGTCTACTCTCGCTGTTACTACAACCACACGCGAGATCCTCGGGCCTGGAACTAAAAGCTAATCCTTTTTCTCGATTCTCCAACACCCTCTACTCCCACCCCCCAGGATCGTAAATTCATATTCATTCTACCTCGACCATAAAGTTTTCTCGACATGTCCACTTTGCCGTTTTCAGATTAAAACATTGCTTTTATTTATCATCTGTTTTTGATTAATTTTTTCACATTTGTTTCAGAATCTTTTCACTGTTTTATGGAGACATTATAGCCTTGCTATGAACATCAACTATTTTGCCAAATTGAATATGAAGGATGGTATCTTTTTTTATTGTTCAAGACTTTTATTGTCATGGTTATGTTTGATGAATAAAATTTGCATTCGTTATTGAGAAAAATTTCAATAATGCATGGAAATAATGAATATTTTTCAACAATGATCTAATGATTAATATTACTATTATTTGTCAACTTTTATAAATGTCTTATTGATCATTTCCACATATTTTATTTTTACTCCATTTTTATAATGCATTTGCTGATTAAAATGTTCTTTTTTTTTATATATTATCGAAGATATTACATTATCATAGGGAAATGGATATCAATTTATGCATAAATTATATTTAAATGAGTTATTATTATTTGCATACATTTTTATGTGACGTATTGATAAGCAGTAAATGTCATTACTTGTTAAACTTGATTGTTTTGAAAGCTGAGTCATCAATTAATTGGAAAAAATATATTCAAATATTTGAATAAAAATTATTTATACGAAATGATGCGAAGAAAGATCGAAACTTCAATTTCTCGATTATTTTCATAAATTTCTATATGCTTGAATGGTTTTTAATCTTACAGGCTTTCATGCTTTTCTAGTTGCATTTAGCTTGTATGTGTTGATATTTTGTTGGAGTTTATTCATGGAAAAAATTTTAATTTTCAATACAAAAGAGCAGTGATTTATTGTAAAAAAAAAAGATCAGGACAATAAAAATGTATAAAATGTAGCAAAATAGTTTTGATGACATTGCATATCTCAGTAAAGCAATTAGTATAGGCAATGTGTGGAAAGTAATAATGTATTTTGCCACGTGTCGTTTTGTAAAACGTCAGTTAGTGTGAAAGTAATAGCATTGGATAATGAAATAAAATGAGAAAAAAAAAATATAAATACATAGAGGACAAACAGTAGAAAAAGACCGAAGAAAAGTAACGACGTGGTAGATTGATTGGGTCATCCCCGAGGCAACGGATGGACAAACACGATCAACTTGAGCATCCTGATGACTAGGATTTTTTTTATCCATATGCCAGTTTTCCTCTACAAGCCACAGGGTGTATTTGTTACTTGATGGCTTCAATAACTCAGTCATGAAGCCACTAGAAATCATATTTATACTTATAACTACTGCTGGAATTTTAAGTATCCACGCTCAAGAAGGATCTCCAGCACCAGATCAAGCTTCCGATACTTTCTCAACTGATTCAGCACAATCCGATGGTTCAATATCAGATCAACCTCAAGAAGAGCCCTCAACAATTCCTCCTGCACCATCTAGACCTATTAATTTATGTAGGTGATATTTAATTCTTTATCTTTATATCAATCAATTTCTTGTATTCTTTTTTCTTTAGTCATTATCAACGAAGCTTTGAATGAACAAGCTGAAAAAAGTGTATCTAATGCAATAAAGGAAATAAAAGGAAAAAATCCTGATTGGATTGGCAAAGTTATCTCCATCGCTATTTCTTCTTCGGATTCTAATGAAATTTTAGCTGAAATTTGTGGTGTATGGGACCAAGCTGTTCGCGCTGGAGGTCCTGATGTTCCAGACTTGGTATTAGATACAACGTTGAGTGGAACCGTAGGTGAAGTAGTAACTGCTTTTACTAAAGCTGTTGGAATACCAACTTTATCAGCTCAATTCGGTGAAAGAGATGATCTAAGAAACTGGCGAGATTTGTCTCCTGAGGCTATGAAATATTTAATTCAAATAAGGCCTCCAGCAGATATGATACCTGATGCTGTTCGACATATGTCTTCTGATATGAACATCAGTAATGCTGCTATTATTTTTGATCAACATTTTGTTATGGACCACAAGTATAAATCTCTATTGTTAAATGTTCCTACGAGACACGTCATAGTGAAAGCCAAAGAATATGGACCACCTATGACAGATCAAATGAAGCAATTAAGAAACTTGGACATAGTGAATTTTTTCATTCTTGGAGGAGAAAAAACAATTGCTGATGAACTTGCAACTGCTAACCAGTTAGGTTTTACAGGACCAAAATACGGCTGGTACGCATTAACCTTGGACCATGAATTTACGCCTCAATGTAATTGTGAAAACTTGACAGTGTTATTTTTTAAATCGCAAGCTACAGTACAAAATCAACAACAACTTGGAGAGCTTACAGCTCGAGGATTACTATCACTACCGGTACTTACGTCAGCTTTTTATTATGATTTAGTTCGTGTTGGTGTCGAAGCTATGAGATTGGCTGTCATAGATAACATGTGGCCTTCCGAACCTCCTCATATTGTTTGTGATGAATATAGTGGATCAAATACTCCATCTAGAAAAATCAACTTTCTTTCCAAATTAAAAGAAGTTACATCTAAATCTACATTTGTACCAACCTTCGCTGGATTCCATTGGGATTCCGAGAATGGTAATCATCATGCTCAATTCAATATGGATATTCGTTTGACTACGATTAACAATGGTAATCCAGACTCGACATTGAATGTAGGAACATGGCCTGTTGGAATAGGTTCAAAATTACAAGTTGGTTGCTTACAGCTTCATTTTAATGCAAAGTTTTATCAAAATTATTGAGCTTCTTTTGTTTGTTTGTAGATTGTGCCGGAATATTTTAAGACGGTTAGTTCTCATACAGCTGTGACAAGTTTTCGAGTGGTTACAGTCCAAGTAGCACCTTTTGTAGAATACAATAATGAGACGGGTCAATGGTTTGGTTATTGCATCGATTTGCTTGAGGAAATTCGTGAAATCATCGGCTTTGAATATGAAATTTACGAACCAGATGATGGAGAGTTTGGAACTTACAATGAGTCGAGTAATACATGGAGTGGAATAATAGGAGAATTAATAGCAAAACGTGCCGATATTGCAGTAGGAACATTATCTGTTATGGCAGAAAGAGAAAACGTTGTAGATTTTACAGTACCTTATTACGATTTAGTTGGTCTATCAATTTTGATGTTAAAACCAAAAGCGCCCACTTCATTATTCAAATTTTTAACTGTTTTAGAAGACGATGTATGGTTGTGTATTTTAGCTTCATATTTCTTCACAAGTTTCTTGATGTGGATTTTCGACAGGTGGTCTCCATATAGCTACCAAAATAATAAAGAAAAATACAAAGATGATGATGAAAAGCGAAATTTTGATTTAAAAGAGTGTCTTTGGTTTTGTATGACGTCTTTAACTCCACAGGGTGGTGGTGAAGCTCCGAAAAATCTCTCGGGAAGATTAGTAGCTGCGACTTGGTGGTTATTTGGATTTATCATCATCGCATCTTATACTGCTAATCTTGCTGCTTTTCTCACCGTGTCACGATTGGAAACTCCCGTAGAGTCACTTGACGATCTTAGCAAACAATACAAAATTCAATATGCTCCAATGAAACCTTCTGAAGCATACACATACTTTCAACGTATGTCAGACATTGAAAGACGTTTTTACGAGTATGTATTTCATGAATTTATTAAAAATAAAATAATAAAACCTAAGTGAAAACTAATAAAATTTGTTGGTTGATCAAATAGGATTTGGAAGGACATGAGTTTAAATGATAGCTTGTCTGATGTAGAAAGAGCAAAACTTGCTGTTTGGGATTATCCTGTGAGTGACAGATATACTAAAATGTTTCAAGCAATGGATGAAGCTGGTTTCCCGCGTTCAAAAGAGATTGCAATATCAAGAGTTCGACGTCTACAACCAGACAAATCGGAATCTGAATTTGCCTTTATTGGTGATGCTACTGAAATAAGATATCTTGCTATGACTACTTGTGATTTGATAATGGTAGGAGATGAATTCTCAAGAAAGCCCTATGCTTTAGCCGTTCAACAAGGCTCTCCTTTAAAAGATCAACTTAACAACGCGTGAGACTCTTTATTAATTAGCTATGTAGATTGCATCAAACTAATTAAAAATTTTAATGTCTCTTTTCTAGGATTCTAAGGCTTCTTAATCAGAGAAAACTTGAAAAACTTAAAAATAAGTGGTGGAATAAGAATCCGAATAAGAAAGAGTGCGAGAAGGAAGACGACCAAAGCGACGGAATCAGCATACAAAATATCGGAGGGGTTTTCATTGTTATTTTTGTGGGAATAATCTTAGCTTGTATGACTCTTGCATTCGAATATTGGTACTATCGGTACAGACCTCAGATGCAAGAGAAGAAACGTCAGCAAATGACCAAAGGATCCTCACAGGAAGTAAAACCCATTAAATTTACTTTAAAACCTCGTGCAGCATTTCAAACTAATTCTGAATTTCGTTCACGATTTTAAAAGGATTATTTTCAATAGAAATTATTTTCATAAGAGCTTTTACAAATTTAAAAATACACAGTATCTTTCAAGTTTCAAAAATTATATATTTTTTTTTAGATTATTATTCACTCAATTGATCGTGTGACGAATCCAGAGCACGGTTTGTTGACTGCACGAAGTTTTAATTCTTAATGAATTATTTGTCCCTTTTATTGAATATTGATTAAAAAATAGTAAATAATTATTAACAAAGTTTAAAATTATTTAAATAGCTTGTAAATAAATATTTTCGTACTATTTATTCACTTTTTTACTATCCTGTAAATTATTAATTAAAATTATTCTAATGAATTTTATTCAAATATTCAAAATTGTTTCAATTTATTGAAAAATATTTCATGAATTATTTACTATTTTTCGTAAATACTTATTTTTGAAGATTGATATTTTTTGTAATTGTTCATGAATTGAAACTGAGAATAAAGATATTTTCCTAACTGTTCGTAATGTTTATCATTTCATAAAAATAAAAAAGTCAATTTTCTTGTTACCCATTATTTTCAATCAATATGTTATAATATGTACTTTAACTTATTTTTCAAGAATGTTTTCGTAATAATACTATATAAATATTAACATTGAACTAAATGAAAAAAAAATTAGCTTTTAACAATATCGAAAAAAAAACTACAAGTTTCTGTATTTTTCTTTAATTAAAAGATGTTTACTAAGCTGCGACATTTTTCATCTTTAATTTTCTTCTCGATTCTGATACGTTGAATGAAATATATTCTGCTTTTGATTTTTATTTTCAGAAGCTCAAAGATTTCCCTTAATCCGTTTGCGTGATTTGCATTTAAACAGCAAACGGATTACTGTGACAGTGGAATTATTCGAGACAATGTATTTGCAGTGAGCTATGAAACATTAAAGTTGTCTCTTCTTAACAATAAACTCATAAGGTAGTAAAACTGGGCATTGTTCAGATCCAATATATACTTCATTACTTTTGTGCAAACATAGCTTTGATAAATGAATAGAATTTATTATTCTATGATTATAATTTTAATTTTACAATTTCTATAGAGAAATTTTTTTTATAAAACTATACATTAAAGTCATATTAATGTGTTTTATTTCTCTAATGCATTATTTATAGACAACCTATAAAATTATTCTCTGACTTTAAATAATTTCTATAGATACAATGATTATTTACAATTAATAAAATATTATCTGCTGATTTGGAACATTCATAATGAGATCATTATATATAATTAACTCAGTATTACACACGCCGTTATAGACGTGAACGATACGCGTATGATAACAGATTCTTTTACAACAATTTTTTAAATACAGAATATACTTTTGAAAATATATTGCAAATTAAATTACCGAAATAACTCATGTACAAAATATTAATTCTGACGGAATTCCTAAGGAGCTCCATTGTTTAAATATTTCATTGGTAAAACTGAGTGAAATTTTTTTGAAATTCATTGCAACAAAATTTTAGCACACGATTTAAAAATTTTCATAACAAAACTAAATTTTTAATAAATAAAAAAGTGTAAAAAATTTCCACAGCGCATGTAAAAACAAGTTAATATTTTCTCATCAGTCTTTCAAAAATCAGCTCAAAAGTCTCAACCACGACTATTTATTTTTATTTGGTTCTCTGCTATTTGTTTTAATTCTAACAACTTATTTTTCATCGGCTGAAGATGTGTTCCCATCCATTCGTCAATGGTAGGTGTGAAGTATATAGCTTCCATATTTACTTTCAAATAAGACTCTAATGAAGAGAATTCCAGAAGCATGCTAAAAATTATACATGAAATCAATTTGCCATTTTATCAAATCAATATAACTTATAACTCGTTTACTTACTCAGTAAATGCGGGAACTAAACTTTCAAGTTGCATAGGATTGGTATAATTATTTGAAACTTGCCAAGGATTCATCCAAGTTATTATTCTAAATAATAAAAATTCATACGTGTATTAATTATCTATTTAATCGATTAGAAAAGTTTATTTTGATCGGAATAAATAAAAGAAAAATATTTACTGTTCACTATTAACAGTGTTATCAAACTTGGTTTTAAAATTTAAAAACCACTCAATGCCGCCAGTTAACTGCCATCCAGGATATGAAAGATTGCTAGGAATAGGAGCTGGCCTTATTTGTGGATTAATGTGCAACGGGTGATCAATATACCCTAAACTCTTAGCGACTTGCATGTGCGTTTGTTCTGTATAACCATGTAGCCAAACCCTTAAACATAATGCCAACGATGGTATCGCTGTTGGTAACAACTCACACATTGTTGCATAATGATCGTATCTAGACCACCCAGTGAAAGCTGTGCCACGAAATTCATTTATCTTGTTGACATGTGTTCCTAACTCTTCCAGCCACCTCTCATGATTACTGATATGATGACTAATAATTGGAATTTGCCTTGATGAACCCGTAGCTCCCTTAAAAGCTGTTGCAGCCCATATATTAGGAAAGACAGAACTAAATTTTGTCCAAAGCTCTGCAGACAATCGTATAAATGTCACTCAAACAGTCAGCTTAGCTTTCAGTTTGTTAATTACCTTGTGATAAGGAAAATGTTTCACGTGAATTGTAATGCCATATCATCGGTTCAACATATTTACCGACGTAATACTCTAAAATGAATTTAAGTTTATATTGAAATATTTTTTTTTAAATAAAATATTGGATAACTATCAAAATACCATTCAAAACCTGTGAGTCTATTGATCTCATCATGTCATCCCAGATGATGATTTTAGGCAAGGATACACTTCCTTGATGTATTGAGCTATCGCCATAACATGTTCTAAGTAGAGAGATGATTTTCCATGCTTACTTAAACTAGCTCGCTTTGTGCATACACTGCAAAGACCTAAATGCCATACTTCGTCAGCACCTATATGTAAATATTGAATGTCTGGATGAAAAGTTACTATTTGTCGAATAAGCGATTTTACTAAAGATAATGTCCCAGGATTTGATGGACAAATAGAACTGGGAAAATTTTCTACTTCTCTGAGTGACCTCCATTCGTCATGTTTTAAAACGAACTATAAAAAATAATTTAGTTTATGAAAATAACTCTTTTAAAGGAACTCAATGTTTTCCCTAAATTTACCTCTAAATGACCAAAAGTTTGGACTAAAGGCACAACAGCTAAACCACAATCTCCAGCAATCTGAAGAATTTGTTGGGCTTCTTGGGTTGTATATCCACAGCCTAAACTGCTGGGTCCATTGCTTCCAATTCTTGTCAACTCGCGAGTATATGGGAATGTATCTTCCCATTCTAACAGTAATCCTGTTGCTCCCCATGTTCTCAAGAGAGGAAACAACTAAAATTTTATGTCAGAAATAACGTCATAGCTACTTGTACTTTTGTTATTTTTTTAGAGCAATGTTATTGAGTGGTAAAGCATTGTTTATGTCGGAATTTATACCTTTTCAAAGTAAGAAACTCGAGGAGGAGCTCCTTTGAGATCAAGGTGAACTAATCTATAGCGAAAATAAAATATTTACAATTATTGTCATTTCCGTTTTTGCTATGATTTTTTAAAAGGTTTATTTGCTTGTTTACCTGTGTGAACCAAACGTCAAGTCGTCCATGTTTGTTTCATTACTACATGAATCAAATTAGCTTATATTTATATTTGACAGCTAAATTGGCGCGAAATAAATATCATTCGAATTTTGTTTGAGATGTATTTAAGTTTAGCTATGACCATTTAAATGTTATTTTTAATTATGTTTAAAAATACTTGAGGTAGGGGTGTAATATTAATAATAACATATAATCAATTATTTTGAAACATTAATTTATTGTACACAGTCGGGCGAACTAAATCGCATTAAGGATAAAACAATTTATCCTTTACATTCTTTATATCGTTTGTACAAAAATGATCTGACCAAGGATAGCAAACACAGCCTATCCGCCAGATAAAATCTTATCTGTGCATCATAATTATTAACGCTTTGTCATTGTACCTTGCAGTCTTAAATTGGAAAAAATAAATGAGTCAACTAATATGAGAGTGTGCAAAATCTATCCTCGGGAGATCATATATGTATATAATGGCGAAGAGAAAAAGATTTTATAACAGTCAGCGATTTACAAAAGATAGGATTGTTTTTAAAAAATTGAGCTAATCTTAAAACTATTTTTCGATCAATTCAGGGTTTCGCATAAGTAAATTGATTGCTTAAAGTGTTTATCATCACTTTGACTTAATTATCAAAAAGAATTCAACAATTAATTTAAAATATGTATTTAACATACTCACATAATTCATTATATATATATATTTATATACGCTTTCTCTTTTCACTCGATTTTAACTTTAAGCTTACATGATTATAAACACAATCTTTCACGCTATCTAAGCATTCAAAAAATCTGTGTCCACCGGCAGTAAATAAATACAGCAATTAAGCATTCGATTTCCAATAAATTTAGAATTACTTTTACCAAAAAATTATCAATATAAACAAAATAAATTAATTAATTACGGGGATGATTCTTCATATTTTATTACTACGTCCATACTCCAAAATTTGTTTGTGATAAAACAAAAGATACCTGTAAAAAATAATTTTGATTTAAAAACAAAATCTAGATAAATTCGAAAGAAATGGATCAATAAAACAAATACCAACCCTTCACTCGTTAGGACGTCTTTTAATCGGGCTCTCGTTATCAAATGATCATCACATTTAAACCACTGATCCCTTTGTTGTCGAATAAAAGCAGTGTAATGACCAGTTTCGAGAGATCCCTCATGATTAATGACAGCAAACAGAGAATATCTATTGTCACTGAATGCTGTATCTTCCCCATTTTTCGGTAAACCGTCCATTGTAGAATTATTATTTCCATTTCTTCTATGAGACATAAAAGGTGTCATATCAAGCTGCTCTGGAAAAGAAATGAATGTGGATATTTTCTTGTCCTGGATGCTGGAATGTTCAAATCGTTTGAGATGAAAACTCGCAACAATTGGCAGCTGCTTCATTGTTAGCTGCTTGGTACTCTCTTGGTACGTTTGGCATTTGCTACATTTTATTTTCGCACTAGAACCCAAATGTTCAGCTCTTGTAAAACGTTCTAAGCAATCAACTAACGATGTTGGAGGTCCACTTGAGTCCGAGCCAGAGGCTCCAGCGGTAGGTCCAAGATCCAAAGATATGTCCCAGAATGGATCAATTGTCGTGGAGACTCCACTGAAAAATTTCATATTGTTATTAATATTACTGTTACAAATATTTTAAATGAATAATAATTAAATTATGAATAAGAGAGATATCTTACTTGCAAGATTGGCAAACAACGTCACTTTGTAAGCCACCAGTAAATATTTGATCAATTATACAGTTGCAATGGTGAGGATTATCTTTCACGAAAATTGGTGCAGCTTCACAATGTCTATGTAGTACGTCTAACGTAGCGATGAAAAATTCATGAGCGTCTTGCTGTTCATACCCAGCTAAATGTCTTGCATGTGTCCATATTAAATGGAGCAGTTTGTGTAATGTTAGTGGTGCTTTGCTTCCTGAATAAAATTCTTGAAAAAGATGAGACACTTCACAAACTAGACATCGGCTTGGTTGAGGGCAGTGGTGACGGTCAGCGAGGAAATAATCTCGTAATAATGGAGTATGAGTCAGTGCTTGGACGATACAATTCATAAAACATGTACTGCCCAGGTTTATAAGACCTCTCAAACCTAAAATAAAAATTAATTGGTTATTAAAAACTATAAATGAGCAACAAAAAATTTCTTTTTCCATTACTATTTTTTTTTAAATACTGACCAATCGTGGAATTTTCTAGGACACGACGTCGTCGTGGATGCTTTCTGAGTAATTCTGCTTCCACTTGAGTCGGTTCCCATGCTCGATAAAATTCTCCTAAGCTGAGAGACTTGGCTGACTCGCTCCATTGTGCCTTTGCTACAGTTAATAGTTCGCGGTCATAAACATAATCCCCACATTGGAAGCACAAAATATTCCCATAACACAAATCAACAGCTGTAACAAATATACAAAAAATAAATTTTATTATTCAGCTGACTCCATAATGATTGACTTCAATATTAAAAAAAAAAATTTCAATACATTACCTAAAAAATGTTTTTTTGTTTTGGCATGTTCCTGTATGTGTCCTTTCGCATAACAGCCAAAAAATATACAATGAAGGCAAGAGTGTAGCCGATCCTTGTAAGTTTTACAAGTATGGCATAGACAGCTAACTGCCTATAAAAAAAGAAAAAAAAAATATAAATAGAATAAAAACAAAACTTAGTACAGGGTTCATGTTGCGATTTCCGACCCTGGAAAAGTGAATGAATTTCAAGTGTGAGCCTTGTCACAGATGATGTCAAGTTGGCGAGTGTGTATGTAAATACAGGGTTGCTAGCATTAACATCTGATCCCACGACAGGCTTGTCACTTGAATAAGTTCACGAGGAGTCATATGTTGGTATGTCAAGCGGAGCCTAACCTCGCACTCACAAAAATAATAGGAATTTAATGAAGAAAAAAGGTTATTTAGAGATTTGGCATGCAATAAAAGGATGACAAAAGTAGCGTCGGTTGTGAAAAAAAAGATTGAGTAAAATTAAGAGAGAAGAGGGCGCAGGATCGACAGCCGGCGTGAAACTGTTATATGCCCGGAGGCTTGGAAATGAGATGTCATACCTTTCTTATTCGTGCTTCTGTTGAAGTACTCGTTACAAAATATGAATGTATCACTTTATAAGGTTGTATCCCTTTGGCAGCTTTGAAATTATTCAAATGTATACAGCCATGGTCACTCATCTCAGTCCCACTTTTGCAAAGATTGACGTAGGTTTTACACGTTGTTGATGTCTCTGAACACCACTGTTGATGTTTCGGAGCTTTCTTAATGTTGAAATACTCGGTAAACTTTTACACCACTGTACCGTGCAATTCAAAACAATGCAACTGTATATACACGGGGCGTAGCACACTGGCCTTGGAAGGATAGCGCGTGTTGTTGACATGGAAAAGCGCGTAAGCCCTTAACACTTTTGCTTTGATTTTTGAACACGTCAGGCACTATTATGTATTATTTATGCACTAGGAACTGAATTAAAAAATTTTAACAAGTTGACTTGACAAATTATACACTCCAAAATGTATGTCTGTTAACCTACGTTACTCAAACTTCCACTGAACACTTTCAGACACCAACTTTCTTCAGCTGGTCACTGCAATACTGAGCCGGTATATAAGATGCTCGTCCCTTCCTATGCTCCACTAGCTCCTCTCCCCTGATGAGTGTGTGCCCGACGAATCAGCAACCACCAATTGTGTACCTGGGAATTTAAGTACCCTCCCTCTTTTACCTGCTCCGATGGTAATTTCCCACTTGCCCTGTCGCCTATTCCCTATTACCTTCGTTACTTAAAGTTATAACTAAGCAAAATGATCACAATAGGATTAGTGTTGAAGCATAAGAAAAACTGGCGACGATCCGAATGACCGTGCATCTTGTTGATGGTTATGTTGCACCTTGTAACTAAATTGGGTCTCAAGTACTGCAATAATAATATCCTTGTCTACGTCTACCTTCATCAGTTTATAATGTAATCGGCTTCATTTACGCTTGGTACAAAATATACGGGAAAATTTCTGGTAATTTTGTTGGAATTTACAGATCTATTTTTCCCATAGATTCTTTTACTTTAAAAAAATTTGTCAAATTGGCGACTTATTTGCAAATCTTATATAGAAATATTTAAAAAATATTGTAATTATTGGTGAACTTTGCACGACAAGCGGATGTTTTTTATCGTTTTGACTGATAGATGGCACAAGTAGATCTTGTCACATGTTTTTTCTAACCTTTCTACTGTCAAATTTGTTTTCAAATTATCATTGATAAACAATGAAACACCAATGAAAAATAATAATATTTAATCTAGTTTTTTAATAATAAATAGATTATTTTTGACATGCCTGTGCATGTTTTTTTTTTCATTCCATTAAAGTAAGATAAAAGTAATTAACAAAATAAGTTGTTTTTCTACTTTTTTTGTCAGTGTCATACTAATGCAATTGATCTTGGTAAAAAATATAATTTTTTCAATACTTACAACTGTTCATAAAAGACCTGGTATGCTTTCAGTATACTTATTGACCAATTAAATTCAATAATTAATAGTTTATCTACAAGAAAAGTTTAGTAAATTTTCCAACACTAGCCATTAATATATACATTTTACGTTTTTTTCGTTTAATAATAATCTTGCAACTTCCAGTACATATTAATTCTTGTTTCTACACTCAACGAGGTATTTCTTATTTTATATACATGGTTTTTACATTATACGATATTCTAAGGTTATTATTTATTTTCTAGGATGAAACGAAATTAGACAGGTTGTAAATTCTACAGTGTAGATGTCAGGGGTACAGGTATGAAGAGTTATTAAGTCGTTAAGACTAAACTTGAAAAATTAAGGTATCTAATACTGGTACCTGTCTGAGGTCAGAAGGATATTCAGCATTATTTAGTTATTAAATACTTGTTGAAATATTTACGACAGAAAGTTAGACACATAAATAAATGGATGCATTGAAATTTTCCATTCCAATTTCCATAAATATTGAATAGTAAACTAGGATTATTTTGAAAAGGTATGTAGTTTTAACGGCGAAACATTAAGTCAATACCAATTATTGGATTACTCATTACCTATGGTATGTACAATAAATTGATGATAATTCTGCAAAATGATGAATGAATTTATTAATTATTGAAAGAAAAATGTTTCGTTGCAATAACCACTCTCTGGATACATACTGTTAAATAAGTTTGTTATTTCTATTGATAAAAAAATTAATGTCTGCCTTTAAACATTTGAAATGGATGGAACAGTAACCTGAGAACATGATTATTGCATTCACACAGTGAAATGGTTGATGATTCATCTCGATTAAATATTGTAATTAATCTCTCGTTCCGTTTATTATTTATTAAGTGTCATGCATTGGAGTATCTATTACTAAAGTATTTCTGATACTATGAAATTTAATAACAATGCATGATGTAGAAAGAAATGATGGTGTCCAATGATCCCGAATAATAATAGTAATAGTAATAACAATAATGTCTATTTCATTTATTATTACATTAATAATTATAATAATAATTTTCCATATAATGATTTTCATTTAATTTTTTATCTTTTGGAGCACTTTAATTATTGAACAGAAATGTTCATTTATTATGTCTTTTGCAATAATATCCAATCAGATATTTATTTCACTGCATTTTAGTTTTTATTTTTGAGTATTCAGTGAGGATTATTTATTCTAATTTTAATGTTTTAATCTTAATCTATAAATTTTTTCACACGAGTTTTTTCATTTTACTCTCATAGGAAAACTACCGATGTCATGTAACGTACATCAACAAGATACGTTTCAACCGATTCCAAACGATCTACATAAATCGTTGACTAAAGATAACAAAGTTCAGCACGATTATATATTTTATATGAGCTAGAGAGCACATAATCGTTAAACTTTATCACCTTTGTCTTTAAGGAATACATGTATTTTTAGTAATGAGCTGCAATTTCGATCATTAAGGATCAGTCATGCAAAAATTCATTTTTTTTTCATCAGGTATAAGTGGGGCAGTGCTTTATGTACAACGTAGGTAAGATCAAACCTACGGCACCGTCGAACGCGACATTTGGTATTTTATTTGTTAATTTAACATCATAAGTTTTTAATCGATCTTTTTTCATTCAATTTTTGAGTTAATTTATTGTAATTACTGCTAATGTTTGAATTATTGTATAATTTCATTGCTAACGAACGTAAATTTAAAAGCTTATCATTACAAACGTGAAAAATTATCCTCGCAGATTGACGAAATTTCATTCAACGAGTTCAACTTGAACAGTCATTAAACTATTTTTAATCACTTGTACGTACATATTATTTATTTTATGACCATACTACTCTTGTCACTCGACGCATATTCTTTGTAATATTATTATTACCTTCATAAATTATTTTTATGCATATGTATACATGTGAAATTAGTTACCTATTCCAAGCTGTCTATTTGGAGTGTAGCAAGAATTGATGATTTATATTTATCTGTTTTTTATTTTTTTTATTAATAATCTTAACTGTTGTGACCATAGTTTAAATTTACGCATAAAATATTTATGCCAGAAAAAAGAACTGACTCATGTGAAAATGTAGGATTTTTTGACCACTAATAAACGGTAGGAGCTGTGGTTTACAAAAATAAAAGAATGAGTTCATAATTTTATATATATCGTGCGTTAAAAGTTGTGCAAACGATATAAATAACACAATGAAATTTAACTTTTGCAAAAAATATTGGTGAATAGTAAAAGTGAATATAATTTACGGGATTCAATAAATTTGTTTTTTTTTTTTTTAATTTTATAAATTAACCAAATAAATGAAAGATCAAAGTATAATGAGAAATTTTTGAAATATTTTGTAACTACCATAGAGTGGCAATATTTTCACTTTGAAAGATTAATTTATTTAATTTAGTTATATTGGAGGATAACTAAAATTAACTTCAAATATTTTTCGTGTTAAGAATATGGTGAAAAATTATTTTATGAATAATAAATCAAATGTATTTTCAGAAGAATTAGTAAATTTTTTATTGGCTACATGTCAAACTGTTTTATTACTGTAAAAGAGTTTTTTTTTAATGATAGATAAATCTATAAATGTCAGCTATATTTTTACATTTTAAAATTTTTTCATTACCACATGTATAAAATAAGAGCTTTAAAAAACGAATGAATTGTTTAAATAATATAACGTATATTTTTTCACATAAATTGTAATTAAATATTCAAATAAACATGTTTGGGTAAAAATATTGCTTCTCTAAACTACATATGAATGCCTGAATATTCAATATACTACCATGAATGAAGTATTTATTTAATTGCATTTTATTTTGTTCATTTTTATTCTCATTTCGTTATTTTTTATGCAATAACTGGTTATCCTTTTAATGTTAATTACTTTAAATCACTATGATACACTCATTAATAACAATAACGACAGAAAAATATGATTTTACTCTGAATAACGAAGTTAGTTTTTATATTCATTGACGTACATAAGTTACTTAGTTTCTTTCGTTCAATTTATATGTTGTCACATAAGTTTTTAAATAATTTTATCGCATTTTATTGAATTGATTTTATTCTCGTTTTTATTTTAAACAATATATTACGCTCGTTGCGTTTATTTTGCAATTATATCTGTCAAAATGGCATGTGCGAAAAAGCTTTTATCATTTATTTTATCGCACCTTGTTAAATTTACTTTGAGAACATACCAGATAAACTCTTGCTCTTGTATCGTTTTTTTTTACATAATGTCAAATGTATAATTAATTAATTGCTATATAATACAATAGATACATATATTTTAATAAAGCTCGCAGAGTAATTCAAGTAATCTGCCGAGTTAAGTACAAATTCGCCGCAACAATTAACTGGAGATGAGACACTTTCATGGGTTCAAGAGGAGGAAATTAGTTTTAATTGTCTTTATTCATTTATATTATTGTATCATGAATATCTTTTGTTCAATGAAAATATATATAATTTAGAAATGAAATTAATCAATAGTTAGATAGACAGAGAAAAGATCACGCAATAAAAGTGAAAAACAAGTCAATTCGTGGCTTTTATAACATCGCTGACAAAATTAGTGCAAGAGTAAGTATAAATATTGATTAATATATTATTTACATGTACAAGTTTGAAGCAAAATTTATTTTATTAGTATATAAGTAATATTTTTTTTCTCTTTCGCACTCCATACAACCTACTGAATGCAGTGCGTTCGTAGTTTATTTATTTATATACAATATGTATTGATGCTTATTCAAACAATGGTTATTTAAATACTCATATGTAAGAACTGTCTAAAACACAGGTCGTTTTTGGTTTAATCGAATGAGAATGCTGACTTAATTGTATTTTATATACTTAATTATTTCATTTTAATATACAAGGATCAAGTATACATTGCCATGGACACAGTAAAAACAAAATTTTCTTTACATTTTTTCAACGATGGAAGCATCAAATGGTGTCCATTGGTAGATGTCCGACGAGAATTACCCACGGTAATACTAAAGAATTTATCGTCGTATCACCAATTGTTTGCTGACTAAGGAGTCATGATGATTCTTTTCTTATGAAGAATTATTTTTTTTCTTTTTTTGACTGATTGATGGATAATTAATGGAGAGGTTTGGTTGCTGGTGCGAAAAAATAGCTTAAAGTATATTAGGAGACGTTTGGTCCCAACCGCGGCGAGACATGTAATGACTACTGCAAAATTTTTTTCTATTTCTGTAAGTCGAAAAAGAGATGACCTAAATGTTATCCAATGTGACAGTCAACGTAAGTGCGAGCGAACGAACAAATATTGATGTCATTTTTATGATCTTGTGATTTATATAGCTTCATGATCATCACTTATGCGTACTCGATGAACGAGATATCATTTCATATCATGTAATATGTTAATAGTACAGTAGATTTTATAATAAGTAATAATAGTATTATTATTATTATTTATTAAGTAGTAAAGTATCGATGATGAGTAACGATATAAATGGTATGGTAATAGCATCTTCATTTAGGTTTTTGTTTATATCATCATTTCATTCTTGTCAATTTTAATTTTTATAACAATTACTTACTAAAATTATGAATAGATGGTATTGCGAATAGTGAAGTAGAGTAGCAATATAATTAATCTTTCTATATAAGTATTAAGTAGATATTGATAACGGTTGAAATAACCATAGTTATTAATAGTAACAGGAGCGGCTGTATTCAAGTCAATTTTATTTTAAAAATTTCTCATCGCACTTTTTTTTTTTTGTTTAAAACTTGCGAATGATAAATTTTTATTTAAATCATTCAATTATTATTTTTAAATCAGCTGTTGAAATTTATCTTCATTATTCTCATTCACTTTTAATGCTTTCCTTATCAATATAAATACTTACAATAATAGTTATTTTTTATTTATATGTTTTTTTTTGAATAATTTACTAGTTCGATCACCGAGTCACAAGACACATAGTGGTGAATTATAATTTTTTTACTCCCTTTGGCTGAATAAAGTAATTCTCACCATTACAATTCATATTTCTCTTCTTTAATCAATAATAA